CTAGATATTTTCAGGAGAGCAGAGATAAAAACGGCTCCTGAGTGGTACCAGCATCTGGTCTCCATGGATTAATATAGTCTCTTTAATTAATATGAATACACATTTTTGTAATATATGTATAATATCATACAATATGAAATGTATAAAATGTTTTAAATCAGGTTTGTTGTTTTGAGGAGAAATAAACCAATAAAAAAATGACCAAAATATCCATTCGGATATCCTTATCAAAATATATTTCTAAGATATGAACCCTTACTTAAAAAAGAAATAATGATACAAAACAACAACAATAAGCCAAAATAAAATGTTTCTCCGTTTATTTATTTTTACAATACATGTAGGCATTGTTACACGTAATTAAAGTGCAACCGATGCAATGAATGTATGTAGGACTTCTAGCCAGGGCTTTCAGGAAATAACATGTGATACAACAACTCTGTAAAACAGATATAAATAATGACTATTACAGCAGAAATAAGATAAGCATCGATCAGATGCATAAACACAAACAGTGAAGCAGACATAGATATGCAGATTGATGATCATAACTAAAAATAAGAATGAAGAAAAATAAGTTAAATAACAACTACGAACAAACTAAAAGAAAAGAGCAGTAAAATGTGCTGTATTATCCCACACTCTGAAATCACATCAAAAGTATCATCAGGTTTGTATTGATATCGGGAAGGTAAGCAGAAATTTAAGGGTTTCAGTCTCATTGGAATAATTTATTAAAGAATAAAGAAATAAAAAAAAGTATAAATGGGACTTTATAAAAAAAAAAGATGAACAGAAACAAAAAGCAATGAAGAGTTCAGCTGTGTCAGTCCTGGCTTGTTTGAACCCGGTGATACTAGTCTCCTTACTGTAACCCAGAGACCAGTGATGAGGGATCCCCTTAAATCCTCCCAACAACCCCCCCCCTTTTCGCTCTGGTCACATGATGTTATGATTTTTCTGGGATCCTTCACAACAACACCAGGAACAACAACAACAACAACGGGATTTAGCAGAATCTGCTTATCTTGCTGTTCTTAGCTGCTTCACGGAGAGAAAACACAGTTTAGGATTAACTGATCCTTTTTCCTCCTGTAAAGAGCTTCTGTCATGATTACTGTAATAATGCACAATGTCAGTTAAGCCACATTCTGTGTAATAAAACGAGGCTTTGTACCCCCCCCCCCCCCCTCCCCAAATGTACACAATTGTTAATTCACATGGAGACACAAAAAAAACCTGGGTCTTTGTGATTGGCTGCTCAGATTTGATCCAGCTTCTCATTGGTGGCTGAGATGGAGCTGGTTTGGAGGTATGACTCCTGATTGGTGAAGATGACACTTCATCAGTTCTGTGCCTGTCCTGGAATGACCTTCAAAGATTTACAGCTGCTGCTTAAAAACAGACTTAAGTAGTTCTAAATACAATGTGATTAATGTTCAGTGTTAATGCATCAGCTGCAGAAGCTTCCACTTAGCTAAAAGGCCCAAACAAAACAAAACAAAAAACTGATAAATAAATATTTTCAATGCATGCACCCGTCTACACTGGTGTGGCTCTGACCTCAACACATCACAGCTGATGACTGAATATAAAACCTTTGTGAACTAGGCTAAGCAGAAGACTTGCAGTTATATCCTTCTACAGATACGTTGAACCACAATATTTCATTTAATTCATCCTAAAGTCATAATAAGGAATAACTTTGCTAAGCATATATCCATAGAGGGGCAGAAATGTGGCCCCTCTATAAGATTCCTCACTGCGGCAATAACATCTAAATACATAATTATGTCAACACTTTCAAAATCCACCAATTTAGCATAGCCCGTAACCACAGGAAAGACGGGCGACTGCTTGGGGCCCCAGGTCAGCCACGGGCCACCCAAGTTTAAAACATTAAACTACAGCCCAAAATGTGCAAATTTTCCAATGACAGTAGGAAACCTCCCTAAGGGGGCCCCTGCTGAGCGTTGCATGTATTACTGCTGTGAAAACCAGTTTGTCAAAGTAACTCAAGAAAGATGAAGTAAATTTATCCCTCTGGCGATAAAAAAAGAAAACGGAAAAAAAGAGTCAGCTGTTGATAAACGCTGGTTGGAGGGGCCCCCTAACAGATTTTGCTCAGGACTCTATCAGTCTCTAGAATCGCCACTGCTCATAACATCAACAACTGTTTAAAACTAAAAGGATAATAATGGATGCAGCAGCACCATATTGAACTTTTTTTATTGCATACATACATTTGCTACTTCTGATACCACCCACAATTTAACACTGTCACTGACACTTCAAATAGGGGGATTTGATATTGCACGCTCACACAGGGACATGTACTGAAGTCCTTTAAGAGTTTGTAGCTTCTAGCTTTGACTTTCCATGTTACACAGGCCTCTGCATACGTACAGAATGTTTCTCCCCATTGGCCTCCTTCAAGTTTCTCTCCTTACAGACTTTGCAGTCCTCTCAAAAGTCTTTAAGAAGAAGTGATCTTTTTGGAGAGTACGTTTAAGGCTGCAGGGATTTATGCTTGCAGCACCACAAATGATAACCTTTAAAATTAGTCACACTGCTCATAAATTCCTGATTGAAAAAAAAGACATGTCTGGTATCAGAACCAGTTAGAAGCAGCTAATGTAGCCTTTAGCACGGATGTGTTTCAATCATTCTAAAGTTGAGCCTTGATAAAATAATTATTCAAACTAAGTCGATCTTTACGCTAACATAATGTTGTTCTAGTTCTAGCTGTTCTTCGCTCTGTGCTGCACTGTTGCAGCTGTTTATTTATAAAGAACTTCATTAGAAAGCTTCTCTCGGGGGACTCCAGACTGGATAAAAGTGTTCACACACCTTCAGGCGGGACACCGTCTCACTTCTGTCCCAGTTAAAACTCCCAGTTACTATCTTGTCTCTGTCCCATTTTCTGTGGCCCGGCCTTGAATCCACACACTCAATGTAAACTAACTTCTGTGATGCATAAACCATCAAACCAACAGAAATATAATGTTGAATCTGTTGTCTTGAACGTAGCCTGCATTCTTTTTAGTTTGGTCAGTTTGATTGAATCAAGGGTGTCAGTACATACTCGTAATACTCAAAGATCTGTTGACTGAGGAAATGGAGAAAGAAAAAGTAGGGATACAGTTTTCAGTTACTTTTAACAGAACCATTGTAACGAAGTCTACCGCAGCAGAGCTTATGTGAGGCTACAAGCTACATGCTAACGTTAGCTCAACACAGAGCTCAAAATGGTGCCGACCAAAGAGCACTTTTTAATCATAACTGTGATGGATGAAGTCAAACGTTTTACAAATTAAACCCAGTGAGAAGTAATGTAGTTACTTTATATGTGGGAAAAGTTGTGTAGAGCCTGTAGAGCCCCTAGGGGGAGCTGTTTGGATCAATTGTGACTGAGGATGACTTTGAGAAATTGAAAAAGTTAGTGTGTCAAAAGAAGTGACCTTGTCTGACCTCCTGTCCTCTTCTCCTCATCTCTGATTTAAGGCTACTTGAGGCTACATTAACCTCTACAACCACATACCGTCTTAAACTGTCAGCAGTAGAGCTGTATGTGGGTGCTAGGTTTTAACACTGAAGAAGAAAGTGTGTGTGTGTGTGTGTGTGTGTGTGTGTGTGTGTGTGTGTGTGTGTGTGTGTGTGTGTGTGTGTGTAGGGGGGTAAATAACCTTTTGCTCATCTGCATCCAGTGGAGGAGGAAGTGAGGCTTATTTAAAAATCGTACACTGTGTCCAAAAGTCTGAGACCACTTCCTACTTTGTGATTTAATGACAGCTTGTACTTGTACACACACACACACACACACACACACACACACACAATCTGAGGACCCTTATTATCCCAGCATGATATCAGGACGTCAAACAAACGTGTGATGTCACAGAGTGCTTGACTTTAAGTGCCACCTTTGATGAATTGTGTTTTTGTGTTCAGGAACGTCGATGACAATCAGGGCTGCTTGGTAACCGCAGCATCAAGCTTTTGTCACAAATGTATAAACCTGAAGTTAGAGCATAAACCCTCAGATTTAGTTGACATTTATTGGATTTTTTTAAGATAGTTTTGGGGGGCTTTTTGAGGACGGTGGATGGAGCAGGAAACATGGATGAGAAAGTGGGGATAACACGCGGAATAGAAAAGGTAGTTGAACCCGAAGCCGCCACTCCGAGGTCCAGGGCCTCTGTACACGTGATTTGTAATTTAACCGCTGAGCTGAAGAGGCTGCCTTTGTTTGAAATGTTTGATTTGTTGTGAAACTTTAAGACTCTGCTGAATATTATTGATTAAAGTTAAGTGCTAAGCATAAATTTCACATTGCAATCGCTAAGAGAGCTCATTTTATAAATGAGTGTATGATAAAATGATGCAGGTTCAAATTAAAAATGTTGATTCATAAGCATACCATTTTGACATTTTAAGTCCTAATTTGCAAAGAAAGTGTCTGCTTGGACTGCTTGGACAAAACACAATCAGAGTAAGGCGTCTTCATTTTTAACAAGCAATCTTTGAATCAGCTGGAGTACAAATAGAACTTTTCATTCTGAGATCCAGCGTGTTGTTTTTGACGTTTCTCTGTAAGAATTGATTTTAATCACTGTAGTCGTGTGTTCCTCTGTTTCCACATCACTAGTTGTTGTTGGTTGTTTTTACTTCCTGTAGTTTTTCATGCTGATGAAGAGCTTCGACTCTGTCTCTGAATGCTGGAGTAACATTACGCTAAGTTCGAGTGGATGATGAATATTTTTCATCTACAAGTCAAAGCTGTTTGAACATTTTTTGCATAAATCCAATCATCATACAAATCCCATACTACTGTACATGTCACTGCACCACTTGTCATCCCTCTCCGATAGAAACACATAATCCACTGGAGCTCACATCAACATATTATAGAGGGAAAGACAATCTTGTCTTAGAAAACCAGCATCTTGTTTGTTCTTTAAACCCACCATGGATGAGATCGTAGTCCAATTATAGAAATGTTTTGAAGGTCTGGATGTTTTTTTTTGATTTTTCATACAAGGAATGGACTCTTCTGACTGCTTTGTTTTTTTTTTTTATAAAAACAAACACAATTCATCTTTTTACTTTTGCTTGATCATCTGTTTTGAGTGTTGGTGCACAGCCTCGACGAAGGCGCCCACGTTCTCAGGGTCCATGTCGGGATAAAGGCCGTGTCCCAGGTTGGCGATGTAGCCTCTCGTGCCAAAACCCTCCAACATTTTCTTCACGATGTCTGAAATCTTTTCCTGAGGGAGGCAGAGAGAGAGAGAGAGAGGATTAATAAAGGAGCTTGAATTTTAACACACTTTGGGGTCTCGATGGCGAACGGGTGAAGAACGTTTTGGAACTTATAATGGTTGAAAGGTCAAATACGTTCTTTCAAACTAAACCTCACACAGGGCTTGTATTTACTACTCATAGGATCTGAAAAAATTGTAAGTATTGAGAAGATCACGACAGAAACAGACCTTTTGTCAAAACACAAGATGATTTTCTGAGACTATAAACACCCTTTACATCTCTCTCTGTAAAGCCACAAGGCTTTAGGGCCGCAGTAGCTCAGTCTATAGGGACTTTGGTTGTGAACCGGAGGGTCGCTGGTTAATGTCTTGATGCGCACTGTAATATTGAAGTTGGTCTGGTAGCTGGAGAGGGGCCAGGGTACTTCCCAAGAAATGCAGAGGTGTCACTGAGCAAGGTACCAAACCCCCAACCGCTCTGGTACTCTGACATCTCTCCACAGCTCCTGTTTAATCATGATGTGTGTGTGATTCTGGCCTACGTGTGTGAGAATCATGTCTCTCAATAACAGAGTGTAAACCAGAATTTCCCTCAGGGCTCAGTAAAGTATGTAAAATTCAAAATGTAAAAACTCCAGGGAGAGATGTGTGCCGATGTATCAGTTCCACAACCGGTTTGTTAAGTTTGCTTTATAGTTTAAATGAGAACTTTTTAAAGGTTTGATCAGGTCTGATAACAACCAAAAGCACAAACAAAGTAAACAGCGCTCTCACTGATGGACCAGACACTCCTCCATTTGTGTGTTTGATGGTCGATTAAGTCTGGTGGCTTTGAAGAGGACACCTCCAACAGCTTCAACAGATTGAAAAAAGATCTAAACTTAACAAAAAGGTTTCTTTTAGAAGGGTTCTTCTCTCTGCTCTGAAACAGGAGCCTGTCTATGTAAAAAATACAAGCGCTTAGTGAGGACATACTTTGCCACACTTTGGACATTTGTCCTGAAAGATTACGCTGCAGCCATTAAAGCTTATCGCTGGGAGCTGAAGCAATCCCTTGTTGTACCCATTAGTCATTAAGACCCCAAAATATGTGACGATACAGAAGAGCTGAAGAAAAGACAAGATTTATCTATTCAAGATTAGGATCCACAGGCTTATATTAGATCGTCTGTAGAGTCTTGGATTCATTTTAAAGTGTAGAATTGTTTTGTTAAAAGTATCAGACGGATAGTTTTGTGTAAGTGGGTCAGAGGAGGAACAACTTCAAGACCTTCTGCTGAGGAGTGACAGACTGTGTGTAGACTAAAGTTTGTTGCCATGAATTACAAAAACTTCACATCCAGTATGAAGTCGAAACACTGTGGAAGAACATAACATCCACAGCGAGTACACTGGGAGAACAATTTGGACTCAAAGGCAGCTGGTTCTGTCATTTCTCTTCCCTTTAATTGGATTTTAAAAGATAGACGATTTAATTCTACTTCTTTCACATAACAGAGGTCTGCAGGTCGTCCTAAACCCCGACTGTTCTAGGAAAAGGAGCCGCTGAGGACTGAACATGACAGAGCACACTACTCTAGTCCGAATGTTCATGTCTATGTAAGATTAGATATTTGGGAGTTTTTCTGCCTTTATTTCGAGGACGGGGGATGGAGTAGAAAATCAGGAAGAGAGAGAGGGGAGGGGGGAAGGACATGCTGGAAAAGGGCGGCGGGTGGAGGTCTGACTTGACCCCGGGCTGCCCGCCTCCAGGACTATTACCTTTGACATGGGGCATGACCAAACCGCTAGGCCATCTGCACCACAAGATATATATCTTTTATAATCATCCACTATTCCATATTTTGATGGTGTATTTTTTCTAGGTACGTGCACATTTAGCCAATAAACGATTAAACGTTGTCACCAGACTCACTAGTCGGTTAAACTAAGTATTGAAACTTGTATCAATTCAGGCCCACAATCTAGTCTCAAATGTTTTGCCTAAGCAGCCGCCTGCCACTAGTTAGGACTGTAGCTCCAGTTATTTGGTTAAACCAGCAAAGTGGACGGATAGTAAAGCGGAGAGGCTGGTCAGTATTTTAGAAAACGGAGATAAAGGTGTGGGTAGAAAGCTTCAGGCGAAACTGACGTTATCTGAAACCAGTCTGACATTGTTGACCTGCAGACGCTGTGATCCTGTGTTAAGACATGTTCAATAGATTGTGCTAAAGTGTTTTCTTAAATTAAGACAAACCCACCAGTCTGAATTCAAATTTGCATTTAAAATGAGTCGCTTAGGAACATCGCTAATCTGTATGTGAAAGGGATTTCTTTGACTCCGTACTAACACATTCCTAATCGTACAAAAGTGATAAAAAAAAAAAAGTTCAGTTTCTGTCTGAAGCAGAAGCTCAACCAAGGAGGGAGCTACATTTACCTTTGGAGCGTAGAGAGCACAAGGGTCCATGTTTCCCTGCAGGCTGACCTTCCCTCCTGTGCGCTCCCTGAATACACACACACACACACACACACAACACACACAACACACACACACACACACACACACACAACACACACAGGAACACAGGACACACAGAGTAATCCTTTAACCAACAGGTTAAGTATTTGATGAGCAGAGCAGGAAACACAGACGTTTGTTGACCCGTAGCCTGCACCGGGTGACACACCAGGGACGAGTTGAGGTCAGTAATGGTTAAACTGCTTCTCAGGAAACAGGAAAGCAGGATCCCTGCTTGATGCAAACACTTGAAGCTCATTCTTTGCACGCTGACCATGAATGTGTATTCTCAGTGTGGGGCTTTATCTGCTTTTGTCTGATGAAATTTTATGTATCGATCTTTGTCTGTTCCTGATTTGACTCCAGAATATAAAATCAACACTTTACACTTAGCTAAATAAAACTAGAAGATCCAGCTCTGGATGACATTAGATCAGAAAGTAACTAAGCTGAAGAGTCTGACGATAAAGGTGCTGTTGGTATTCTGATGCAGCGTTTGATGTTGTGCCATGCAGACATCAGTGGTAGTGTTATAATTACTGTGTCGCTCGTGTGTGTGTGTGTGTGTGTGTGAGAGCTCGTTACCGTGCCGATCGTGGGTCAATGGTCCAGTCGAGTCCGACCACCTCATAGTTAGACTGAGACAGATCGTCCAGAGCGTAGTGAGCATCTTTTGCAAACACAATCTGAAAGACAAACAGACAGTTTGTCTTAAAAGAGTGTTAAAAGAGCTGATTTCCAAAGTAACTTCTGACTGAATCGTTCTGAACCATGTTTAAAGAAATGTTGCCACCTTGTGGTGATAAAGGAGAACTGTTTTTTTTTTTTTTTTAAGGGAGCAGATGGATGCTTAATGACCCCTCATGGGACACATTGTTGCTGAAGCAACAGAGTGGTGATAATAATAGAACAGGGTATTGAAACTTATATAGAAAATAATTATAACGACAGAATTCACAGACAAATAGAGCAGTAAAAATAAATAAATACAGCTGTCACAGTTGACTGGTGGGATGATGAGCGGTGTTCATCATTAGCCACTGACATTGTCAAGAATAACAATGGAGAAAAATAAAAAACAAAGTTTGAAATCACTTACCATGGTGATACTGCAGAAGTCTAAATATGAGCATCATTATGTTAAAATACATAAAAGGGTAGACTGATGCTCCTGCAAACAGCTGTCACTCACCATGGGGACGTCTTTTCCTTCCTCCTTCAGTTTGTCTTTGACAGAGCGAGCGATGTCCCGAAGATACGGCAGAGAAAACTCTTTAAATTCGACTGGGCCCAAAATGCCGGCGTGAGAGTCAAACACCTGCAGAGCCTGAACGACATCAACAGAGGAGAAAGGATTGTTTTTTTTGTTTTTAAAGAAAACCTACAGGAAGCTTTTCTTTTAGCTACTAAACCATAAACTGTAGATATGAATGGATGAAGCCTGAGTGACATCTACAGTCTGCTACAGCGGGAGGCTTTAGAGTCCCATCGATGGCTGTCTTCATGCTGGAAATGCTGATACGTGCTTTATTGTAAATAACTCTTATTGTTCATAAAAGAGAGTTAAATCCACCCCGTGCCCATGAGAACCGTAACTAATCACTTGTACCAGGCTGTAAACATCTCTGCTGTAAAAACAGGCTTTTATCAATGGGTGTGTATGTGACTTCCAGGGCTCTTGGAGCCAGCCTCTAGTGGACACTCCATGAACTGCAGGACTTTGCACTTCCACATTGGCTTAATTTTCCCACACCGGAGGTTACCGCTTGGTTTTAAACTCAACATTTAATTATAAGCGCCCCATATGGTTAGTAAGGCAGACAAGTTTTTAAGCATTCAGCTAACCTGGAACAACCTTAAGCATTCATTTAAAGTTGTGTTTCCTTTCCTACATGTCATTTCACACTCTGATTTCTGACTCCTCCCACTGTCCTGTCTCTTCAATGAAGGCATAAAAAGGAGCTTAAATCAGGTAAAAGGATACCATGCTGAGTGAAGCTGAAAGGAAAACAGCCGTGTACTATGCTGTTGTGACACAGTCTGGGCTTTGCGTAATAATCCAGGTTTGTTCTCTTTACTTTTTGGAGTAAAACGCTGCCTCGACTGGATTATTGTGCTGATACTGAAACAGGTTTATCTCCAAAAGGTGTGTGTGTGTGTGTGTGTGTGTGTGTGTGTGTGTGTGCAGACGCTGGTATTATCAGCAGACAGTTTTTATGTCCCCATCTCTGACGTTCTCACAATATGCCCTGTGCTTAAAAAAAAAAAAAAAAGCAGGGCGTCTCACCTGAGCTCCAGCTGCCACCTGTCCCAGCAGATACTGCACGACCACATCTGTCAGCATCCTCAGCAGCATGTGGCTCGCCTCAGGGTGCCGGTACAGCCAGCGTTTCGCTTTAGAGTGGGTGTTCGAGCCTCCACCTTCAATCATGTAGGCCATCAGCGTCCACTGTGAAGAGAAGGAATTTTTATTAGCCACATTAATTTAAAGGCAAGTGTTTACTTAAGTGTTCTGCTGTGTGTGTGTGTGTGTGTGTGTGTGTGTGTCTCATCTCTGACCGGAGCTCCGGTGAATCCAATGAGCGGCACTTTGCCCTCTATCTTGTGTCTGGTCAGTGTGATGGCTTTGAAGACGTAGCTCAGCTCTTTGCCTACGTCCACTTTGGCCTGCAGACGCTGCAGGTCCTCTGGCTCCTTCAGGGGCTCCGGGAAAGTGGGACCTTTACCTGGAACCATCTGGACTTCCATACCCATGGCCTGGAGGGATGAAGATAGATGAACAAATGAATAAAAGCTGTTCAATCTGACTGACGGCGGAAATGATACAGATGTCGAGACTATGGTTTTTATGACACCAGATTTTTTTTTTTTATACCTTCAGGCGATTCTGATAAAACCAATATTGACAGCAGCTTTGATACCATGGCAACAAATCCTAGTCCTAGGACCCGCTTATTGGGTAACTCCTTCTTTTTACTTATCAATCAATACAAACAAACTCCCTCTCTCACCAAAGACAGCTTTTGGTTAAAAGATCTGAAATGTTTAAGAGCTTCTGTCCTTTCTTTTCAGTACTATAGATCATTGGTGATCATGATTTAAAACTGTTAAGGATTTATGTTAATTTTTGAAAGCAATGAATCACTTTTTCTTTGTGTGGGTCCTCGGTTGGGCTCAGCTCTTCTTAGACACAAGGAAGCGGTCTCCAACGAAAAAAGTTGGGAACCGGCAGTGGCTCAGTCTGTAGAGACTTGAACTGTCTTAGCAGCAGCTCAGGAGTGCCTGCTGTTGGCAGCCCCCCTCACTCTGTCAGGACTCCATTAGTGCATGTGTGTTTGAACATATGTGTGCATTTCAGTCCGTGTGTGTGTGTAGCATGTTCAACAACAAGAGAGCGTAAAAAGGAATTTCCCCTCGCTTGATTAATAAAATACATCATCTCGTCTTCTTCTATAGATCATTAAAATAACAGATTGTGTTTGAAAAGCAGCACAGTCACCGTATATTACTAAGTTCAGATTTTGGACGTAGCGTGTTTGAGTAAATATCTGGTCATTTCAGGCTAAACGTTCATGTGTAGCTTTTTTAATTCATTGTTAACCAAGAGAATGTCAGATGAGACATCACAAAGACACTTTGATGTGTACATCACCAAGAAGAAGAAGAAGCTCTTGGTGTAAAAATACTCAAAGTGCTTTTCTGACTCATTCAATCATTTAGCTTGAGAGAGATTCATACAAGAGCACGATGGTGGATTTATATTTCATGGTGTATTTGCTTTTACGCAGACATCACAGTGACCAGATAACCAACCGAACAACCTGAAAGATTTCCCAGCTCTGGCCTCTCATTCAGCGACTTGTTCAGCTGTTGAATAGCTGTTAATGAAATGTGAATGTAACTGTCTGAATGCGGCTGTGATGTGTTTGTTTCATTGATGTTGTCTTGGCTTCTTTTAATGACTCGGCCTGCTGAGAAACTGAATTGATCCTCTTGGATTAATAAAGTCTCATCTGAATCTGAAGAGAGTCATGACTCTGATTGTTTCCTCAAGATCTGGACTTCTTCACCTCATGGTCCAAGAGTCACAGAAATAGTCTTCACTTATACCTCAGTGATATGGGTTATGGCAGCACGATGTGTCAGGGTCTGACCCAACACACAGACCAGTCTAGTGATTTGTTTTGTCACCAGAAAACACGCTCTGTTATCTCCACATGTTTACATGAATTAATCGGTTATAATGGACAAACCAGCAGGATAAATAAGTGACGACCTTGAAAGAAAACGACTGAAGTCACTTATAATTGATGTGAAAATGGAGTTAATAAAATATGCTGTTGCATGTCTGGTCAGGGCTTCTGCAACCTCCACATGTGATGTATTAGTTATGGCTATAATTAGAAATGTGTCACACTGAACTCGTCTTTCTTTTCATTTTGTTTTACCATAAAGGTAAACCGGGTTCAGGTTCCACACACAACACAGAAATGTGAGCGAGTGAATGTTATGAGTCTGGTCCTGATGAGCGCCTCACCTGTGGGATAACCAGGATGTCAGAGAAGATGATGGCGGCATCGAACGGGTAACGTCTCAAAGGCTACAAGAGAAAAAAGGAAAGAAAAAACGTTAGAAGTGACAACAAATGGAACCTGTTGTTTGTTAGTTTTCCTGTAGAGTTGGCCTCAGGGTAGTTTTACTGTCACACCAGTTAAACACTACTTATTTACTTCTGTTCTATCACTAGTACAGTGGTCCTCAAATCTTAGAACCCACCACCAACTCCTTCATCAACAATCTTCAACCAATCAGACGTATTTAATAAAATAATGTGCAGTTTGGACCTCAGACTGCATTGCTTCATGAGAACATGTGACAGAACAAACATGTTGAAAAAGGGCTCCATTGACTTTTTGACACTAATGTCTTTTTCCAGACACACAAAAAGCTGCTCTGTGACCCACTTTTGGGTCCCGACCCTCCAGTTAAGAAACAAGGTACTAGTACATTACCCGTAATAAGAGAGACAAAGTTGAGCTTTTATTTAACTGGATTTGATGTCTTCAAAAACGTTTCATATCACCCCACTGTGCTTATATGAATTTAAGAGAAGTCTTTTAAATAACCTCTGATGATATTGAGTTTGAGAAGCGCTGCTGTACCTGCAGGGTGAGCTCGCAGCAGGCCTCCGGTGACTGACAGGTGTCAAAGAAGTCCTTCCCTGCTCTGAACTCACGGAACTCTGAAAATGAAAACCACACACAACATTTACATTATGTCTTCATGATGTCTCAACATGTCCTCGTGCTGGAAGAAAGAGACTGCTCTGTAGTAAAGGAAAAGAAGAAGCTGGGGTGTTCCCACCTGGCAGGTATCGTCCCGCCTGTCTCATACACCACACAGGGACATGTTCAGTCTCTTCCCCTCGCGTCGCTCGCAGGAATGTGTCGTTCTTCAGCTGAGGGAAGTCCTTGGGGCTGGATAGAGAATCAAACAAAATGGTGCTTAGAATCAGTCTTTTTTCATTGAGCTCATGAAGCAATGCTGAGTCAAATACTGAGAAAACTACAACTACCACGGCAGAACGATGCTTATCAGTGACACGTGCTGTGGCTTTAAGACCAGCTAATGTGAAAAGACTCTTTAAGAGAAATCTCATAACTCAATATAAGAACTAATAGAGCCCAAAATGAGCAGAGAAAAGAAAATGACTCAATTTTATATATATGTATATATAAAAAAAAGTCTGATAACAACATCAGAAAGTTGTTTCCCTTTAGGAGAAGTGGGCTGGTGTCCTAAAGCTTTGGAGGATGGGAGCTATACAGCTATAGGACACTTCTGTTATCTAACGTATAGGCATGTCCCTCCCTATTCCAATAATGCAATCATATCGGGCTGCATCCAGCTGCAGAGCTGTTAATGACAGAGTGATTCTGAGAGAGAGATACCACTCCACTGCTCTCTTATCGTCTGCCAGAAGCAGACACAAAAAAAAAACCGTTGAATGAAAAGCTGCTTTGGTGCCACCAGAGCTGCAAGGCAAACTGACTGACATGTGAACCCAGGCATCAATCTAACATCACAATAAACTGCACGACAGTGACTTTATATTCCTCCCTCCAAACAACCTTTAACAGTAACTTCAGTTAAGCTTACTCTTGGTAAAGCCCATTATGACATGCACAACTGGGATCATAGCCGTGCTAAAGTGAGTCACAGAATAGATGTTCCTGCATGAAAGCAGACGAGACCAGAGCTGTTCTGTCCAGAGGATGAAGAGTTAAATACGTTTTAAAACTGACGTTTAGCCACTTTACATTCAACAAATACAACTTGTGATATTATTTCACAATAATGAATAACTCAGTGATTATTTATCAATCAGCCGAATTTATCAGAAGATCTTCATGAGTCGTCAAAAATCATAAATATATCACACAGAAGAAGATAATCGTTAAATATGAGCAGGAGGAAGTTAAAGTGCGTGTTTCCTGAATGAGAATCCTCCATGACAAACGTACTAATGCCAGGCGGTAAATAATGAGCATGAAACGAGGACATATTAGTGTTTTGTGGTTAAGGTTTTAAATGTCTCACTTGATACCAGTTTTAAAACATGTTGTGTGGAGTCATGTTTTCATAAGAGCGACACAGGCATGTTTCGTAATGTCTCTGTTGACAGACAAAATGCTCTCTAAAGTCTGAGTATTATTCTGCATGTTGAGGATAAAAGAGAAGCACTCACAGGATTAAATCGTCCTTGCTCATGTCGGCGGTGCTGACGTTCAGATGCTCCTCTTGTCGTTCTCTATCTGTGAAGCTGTTAGCCGCAGACCTCCTTCAGCTCCTGCAGCTCCTGCAACTGTCAATAAAACCTGCTCTGCACAACTCTGGCACAACTCTGGCGCTGCTGGGCGCGGCCATCTTGGACAATGACGTCATCGTACGAGGAAACGAGCCGCTAATTCCAAATAACAATGATTTATGTTAAACTTTTTATATTTTTATATGGGAAATATTTTATTCACAAATGTAAATTGAGTCAGAAAATACCCAAAATACAACAATTAAAAATATAAATGGAACACTGTCTATAAACACTACATGGACTGAAAGACAGAAAAAAGAAAAGAAAAAACAGGATATTTGTGAAAGATTATTACTGTAACCCTGTTTTTCTGTTTTAGTTTTAGTTTAGTTTTTTTTTGATACCCCTATGTATATAGTTGTACGTAGATGTATAGTTTGTATGTCTTGTGTTGTAATTGTCTTTGTCTTGAAACAATAATAATAAAAAAAATCCAAATAAGTGGGGAGAAAGGATGGAAGATGTGTGACATAGACCTACTGTATCAATAACAATTTTAAAGGTGCATTATGTAGATTTGATGTTGGAATTTGAAAGTTTGAGAAGGGAAACAATTCTATGCTATATTTCCTGAACTAAATACATAGTACACAAACTTTATACAAAGGAAAACATTAGATAAAAAGCTATCAGGAGAGAGAGGAGTTCACCGTTGCGGGCCCCAAACCACAACTTCTCGTGTAACATTTTATCTTCAAACACTTTTCCAGTGATCACATTTTCCTCTGAGGACAGTTCGTGTATAGAGTTAAGAACATATACCACAGAATCTGTACACTTCTTCAACTTTCACATTTACTAAATCTCCATAGTGCACCTTTAAGGAAGTGTCTTATAAAATATAAGGCTATACATATAACCTACCCAGCCAAACTGGTCTTAAAATACATTATAAGAACATTGACTCATTACTTACATTATTTTATTTTATTATTTTATATAAGATTTCCTGAAGTTGACAAAAAGAAAAACAACCGACTCCGACTTCTGTCATGGAAAATGTAAGGATTGAACTTTTTGACTGTCAGGTGTTTGTTGTAATGAATCATACAGTCAGAACTACACCGCACCAGATCTATTTATCTGTTTTTATGAAAAAGATGATAAAAAAGCCTTAAATACCCTAAAAATAGGCCTAATAATAATAATAATAATAATATGAATGCAGTCATTTAACATTTTCAATTCACCGTTTATTAAGGAGGTATTTGCAAATCCAACTATCTCATAAAGTAGGTGTGTATAGGACAACAAAACTATCACGAAAAGAAAAAATCCTGCACACTCCTAAGTAGCCTATCACCAATTTATTTGAAAAAAGTCAGAGCGTTTCGGTGCCTCGCTCTGAACCTACTTAGCAAGCTAGCGTGTGGGTTTTTTTTCTTTTCAATTAACCGTTTATTAAAAGGTAAAACAAACTACCTGCAAATACAGGGACCTAAATGTAGCCAACACATGCTTTATATCAATATATATCTCAGAGTTTCCCAGCAGATAGGTGTCAGTAAAAGGCCTATCTTGGTGACACTGAATTTTATTTCTGCATGTTAAGTGAATAATCTACATGTTTGAACAATCAGAGAGGAAATCAAAAACCTGAGCATTGAAATGTTTCAGACTCATCAGCTTAACCCTCGTCACACTCTGCCTCAGACAAACAGCTGCAGCACAAGCATGGATGTAGTTAGAATCAAACTACCAGCATAATAAACCTGCTGAAAAGTTGTTTTTGCATAGTGTAGGCCTAACAGATGAAGTGGGTCATACATTTGAGGGATTTTGGTTGTCTGTTTCTGTGCACAAATGAACACCTCTATATGGATGAATGTGTGTTGGCTGTTTAAGAGCACATAGTAGAGAAAGGCTGAAATACTCCCTGGTTGCCATGGTTCCTCTTTAAGTACATCATTTCTATCAGAGCATCATTTAAACAAGAACAAAACCTTAAAGTGCCACAAGAATTATTTCACGAGTTTCATGCTTGGATTTTTCTGCAAAAACTAATAATTCAACTGAGGATATTCCTACTCTGATGAGCACCAGAGACTCCCAGAGATCCGAGCAAGCAACTCCTCAAACTTTGAAGATGGAAACTGTGAGAACATTTTGATGATCTCTGGTGTTTACTGTAATGATAAAACTTTACTTTAGCAGACAATAGATCTGTTCTGTTTGGCAGGCCGTCAACCAAAGATCTCGAGGAGCCTAGGAGAGCTCAAGAGCTCCCAGGAAAGTAGGTGGTTAGCGACTGAGATTTACAGATCGATACATGCAGTAATATGAAAGTCTTTACACAAGTTCATGAACTATGTTAGACCTGTAAATTTACTGAGTAAACACCTGTCAACGTGCATCGCAGGCCTCTGTATGAAACCATCAGCCTCTGCCTTTACCTGCTTGATATTAAAGACAGCACCCTCAGTCTAACTTCAACCTCTTCCAAACATAAAATCTGCTGCCTTCACCTGCACGTGCTGAAAGAAAAGTGAAATGCTAACTCCACCTGCAGCCTCTGCTAACAATCTTTATCCACTGCCTCAACCTGCAGTCACTACCAAAAACCTTCAGACCTGACCTGCAGCCTCTGACAGAAACATCAGCTTCTATCTGCACCATATAAAAAAAAAACCTGCTGTTGTTTCTGACGCCTTCAACTCAAACTGTCTCCACCTGCAGGTAAAGGAGAAGAAATGCAGCCAATGCATCCAACTTCAATCTCTGTCAAATACCAACATCTATCATATCCAACTGCAGCCGCTTTGGACTCACTTGCTTCCATCTGCAAACTCTACTAGCAATGTTAGCTACTACCCGTCCAACACCTCATCCATCAATCTACAACTGCCTCCACATTTAGCCCCTACCAGACACTCATCAAATATTTCCACCTGTGCAAAATGAAGGAAAGCTTCCTCCAATCAATCAACCTGTAGTTGCTTCCACTAGCAGTTTGTAGCTGACTGCTGCAGTCTATCAGCAGCACCAACGCCTCCACCAGCAGCCTCTAACAGCAAACTGAGCTGCTCAGTGCTTAGCCATCGTGTTCACCAGCAGGGGTTGCCAAAATCAGCCTCCAACTCCAACTACTACTGTCTTATTTAACTGACTTTCTTCCATAATAAACAAAGTCTCAAGGAATCTGTCGACTTCTGTGTCTTCTGAAGCTCTGAATGAGTTTTCAATCACTTGCCATATCATATCAGTGTTATAATTGAAGTTGTCATAGTAACACTGCTTGTGTTTAATGTTTATGTCAACATGTAAGTGGTTATAATGAAAGGGAAACTGAAACTTTTTAGCTAGTTATGATTTTTTTGGATCGGTTATCATAATGTATTACCTTAACAAAATATGCACAACTCACATCCCCGTTATACGCTTTTTTTATTAAACCAAATGCAACATGGGCATTTTTTTTACCCTTATATCATCAATACCATGTGGCGTATTCATGACTTAATAAAAAAAAGGCTGTGGGAATATTGACTGAAAATGTAGGATCCCTTTACGAAGGCATCGTATCCAGCACTAATGCTTTTCAAGACAAGATTGTTGGCCACTGCTTCTTCTGTTTTGACAATGTTCCTTTTTTTAATCACTTAATGGAAGAGCACTACTTCTACTACTACTATTACTTATATTACTAATAATAATGGAGGCTGAAATGCAAAGTCAGTAAGACATACCACATTCATTATTAACAGTGGTTGTAGACAAGTTTAGGTAAAAGGTTTATTAATGAGAACTGAAGAATGTGCGACTTTTTGATCCAGTAGACGTCGCCCTTGAGTTACAGTATGAAACCAAAACAAACTGCTGTTTGGTGACACCGCCACCATGCTGAATCCTCCGTTCTCCTCCAGCGACACACCTCCAACCCCTCTCCACTTGTGTTTGCACAAAGGAGTTATCAAATTTGAACGCACCATAATTAAGCGGCTGACAAAATTCTCTCAAGCTGCTTTGTAGTGTTAGCAGGCTAATGGTAGCGCGCTTAAGTTTGCTCGTAGCTTCACACTGCATGTAAATTGACACAGAATGACCATGATCTAAAAACACTTATGTGACCTTCAAATAAGCAGTGAGTGCAGTATGTTATTCTTCTTTCAGTCCCTCACTTAATCAGCTTTTGTTCACAAGGGAAAGAACGGGCCGGCCGTCCCGTCCATGATGTATATACGACTCAGACGACATCACAGAAGCAGGACTCATGCCTAACACTCGTTGTAGACAGTCATGACTCAGGGAGACATTTACAGAAGATATACTGAATATTCTGCTATATTTATGTGTAAAATATTGCACATTCTTCCTTTAAAATGAACATTACAGGATTATTAGGAAACAATTACAGTGCATGTGAGAGAAAGATTTGTTCATTAACAGTAGATGATAAACTGTCAGTAGCGTAGCCGGGACCCAGTATGTTTATAAAGTGCGATTATATCTGTGCCCTTCTCTCTGACTAGAGGCTGGCGCTCCAGGTACACCGGAAGTCACATACACATAACTGGCAAAAAAACAGTTTTTACAGCATAAATAAAGATGTTTACAGCCTCTGAAAAACAAAACTAAATAGGTCTGATTAGTTATTGTCATCATGGACACACACAGTACACACTGTGACTTTAAAAAAAAACAGCTCTGTTTTCATTTTATGAACGATACGTGTTATCCATAGTTTGGCGTAGCTGACATGATTGACAGGTGGGCGTGATGTAACGCTTAATGTAAGGCTTAAAACCCGCCTCAGCTCCAGCTCTCAGCCTGTTGTTAGGTTGAATGTTGGGCTGAGACAGGATTTCCAGCATGGCGGCTGCTGCCAATGAGCCTCCAGAGCCCCCTGCAGGAACAAATGGCTGACGTCACTCAGACATTGTCCATTAATATTTACAGTCTATGGTTTTAATGCATCAAATCAATAAGATTATATATTGTATGTTTATGATATATTATTTCTAGAAGTCACTTGTGAGATTTATTTTTATGGCTTTGAAACAAGTCACATAATCTGCTGTACGCTTCATTCCAGCTAAAGTAAAATCAATCAAAAATTAACAGTTTTTTAACTCTTACTTCAAATAGCACCAAGTGTACAGCTGAACTGATGAACAAACGACAAAGAAATACAATTATAATCATGTTATATTATTTTAATTAAAATACACAAAGAGCGATACAAAGAACATGACGGAGGTCAAAATCCACATATTTGATTTGACGGTAACATATTTTACATGATGAAATGATAAAGACGACAGATTACACTTTTATCTTTGATATATAAACAAAATACAAGAACAAGTAAAAGCTACAACACTTCAATGTGAAGTGAATTTACAGGTGATTGACTCCCTGTGGTCAATAAAACAGTAACTTAACAGACATCTCTTCTTTAACATCTGCTTTATAAAGTCACTAAAGAGACATTGTTATAAAGACATGATGGAAGTGAAATGGATATTTCTCCTACAATCTTCTAAACCATTGACACGTATAACAATGTTTTTATTAGACATCCCAACATATAATGCGTGGACAGAAGAGTTCAGTTTCTGACTTGTAAAAAGTCTACCTTTGAAAGCACTAGAGTCTCATCAGAACATTAAAATGACACACCATCATTATGCAGATATGTTAGTTTGAAACAAGTTAGGACCGAGGTCATTCCATTTACTCCAAGTCAGGTATTCTTATAGGCAGCAAGTCCATTTTTTACCTCTAATTATTTTCACAGACATAAGGTATTTATTTCTCCGTTATTCATTTTTTACACCAATCATAAATGAATGCTGCTTTATTTTACCCTGCCTCTTTTGACAATGCCTGCTTTTTGTTCAGTCCCTCTGTACACAAAGGTTTTAAAATCTTATAAACAATCTCTTCGTTACAAATTCATAAACGCCATTGGATCAACACTCGAGTGTCAAAAAGTCCAACAAAGAATACCAACTTTCTTTTATATAGATCTCAGAAATGTGCTAAAGGTGAGATTTTGTTGCACTAAATACAATATTTATACACAGAAATAATGGTTTAAGACCCCACAAGATGCTGAAAGCTGCATGTTTATATTCTCATAGGGACAAAAGCATTATATTCAGTATATTTACAGTCATAGAGTGAGGCATATTTACAAGAAAAGAACCTCTAAAGTGGATCCAAACATATGGAAAGTCTTGTGTTCCTCTCTAAGGCTGTTGCTGGTACTGTCCCTCTGTGGCGGTGTAGAAGTCCTCCAGGGCACCCTGCATGTACTCAAACGTGGGTCTGTCCTCAGGTTTGTCCCTCCAGCACGTCATCATGATCTCATAGAGCTCTGCAGGGCAGTCGTTGGGCTGAGGCATCCTGTAGCCGCGCTGCAGCGAGGACATCACCTCTCCTTTAGTCATACCTTAGGAAAACACAGACACATGTGTTAATAAAGGAGTATGAAGAGAGAGGCAACCCTGACGGACAGTTCTGCTCGAGCTCACGTATGAATGAGTACATGCAAACTGTGGCAGCAGACATCTGACACACAGCAGCGGGGATTAGGGAATATGCTAGAAAGAAGCTGAAGTTAATGGCTCTGTTACAGATATTGCAGGTGTTGTTTCAATAAATGGTAAAAGGTATCGCACTTTTCTAGTCTTCTGACTACTCAAAGTGCTTTTACACTGCAGGTCACACCTACACATTCACACCCATTCACACACTGATGGTAGAGGCTGCTATGTAAAGTGACCATCAGTATAAACTAATCCCATTCATACACATTTGCATATCATTTGCACTTCTGGTGAGATGCCAAACCTCATTTCGTTACTCTATACTTGTATATGTGTAATGACAATAAAGTCGAATCTCATCTCATCTCATCTCACTGATGAAGCAGCCAGATCAACTTGGGGTTAAGTGTCTTGCCTAAGGACACATCAACATATGGCTGGAGGAGATGGGGATCGAACCCTGACTTCTGGCTGAGAGATGACCCACTCTACCGTTGAGCTAAAGCCACGTCTATAGCAACAAATGGTGTTATGTGTCATTTTTAAATCCCTTTTAATTTTGTTATGTAACTGAGAAAATATAAACTGCCAGCAGAGGGCAGTAAATATCAGAATCACAACACAACAACACTCTGATCCCTGTATCATGATGAATGTTTTACTGCTTAGTAAACTCAACTCTACTTTAATTAAACAGCACCGGACATACGAGCATACAGCTCATAGTGCTTCACAAAGACGAGAAAGAGGAACAGAAATTGAGAGGTAAAAAAAGAGGGATGACATCAATTCAAATATAATTTAAAAATAAATTCATGAATAAAAACTTATGTAAAAAGTCAAGAAATTGTTAGTAATCAATAAAATAGGTGTAAATCAGCGAAAATGAAAATGTACCAAAGAAACAAAAACTGAAACTATTTCAGACACTAGGTGTTTTTCCAAGTAAACAGACTCTGAAGAGGAACTATCCACTAGGGAGTTCCCTGAAAACTACAAACCATGGGAACTTTTGTTTTGTCTGCAGTCACTCCGCCATCGTATCGACTCTGAAGCAGGAGCTTAAAAATGTCCCTCTTAACAGGCTTCTAGGAACTAAAATAGTTCATAGTTCCTGCGACGTGGAAAGAATACAAAAAGAGGAGCGTTCCAACAGTTCCTAGAAATATTAGGAAGTTCCCGCGGTCCGAAAACGCCTAATGATAAAAACAGTGCTGGCCCCCGATGATTGTGTGTGAACTTTAAAGGCCCTATGGAGTTTTTAGAATTTGGGGCCCCACAAAATGTCTCAGATTCATTTGAGGCAACTTTTTTTAGACATTTGGCATTTCCTTCTTTGTTTAGGAAAAATTTCAATTTCCACTCAGACACATCATCAACTGACACGATCGAGGTCCTATGAAAGGTGTGAATTCATCACCTGACTCAATCAAAACCCTTCATTTAAAGACACATATTACTTTAGGCCTGGCACACATTAAAAGATTTTAAAATCTTAAACGTTTTGCAAAATGTGAAAGACCCTGCACATGATGACAAATCATGACAGATTAACAGTTTGTTCTTATAGTGTGTGGTGAGTAACGAGTCGGCAAACTCAGCACACCACACACTAACCAATTAATCCACCAACAACCAGAGTCTCCACCTTCAAAAAACTCGATTTAAGCGTAAACAAACATGATAGTCGAGCTAAATGTGGCTGTGAACATGTTCCTTGTCAGTTGGATTGTGGTTTGTTTTAAAGGACATGTTGTATTTAACACTTGTGTTGTTGCCACAAATCAACAAGCTGGTCCTGAATTTATGACATCCATCTGACTCTATGCTTCATGTTTTCTGTTGTTGCCATGGTAATGTTTGTTCTGCTTCCTGCTTCAGTCAGCTTGCTTCCTGATTGGCTATTGTTCCGTTCCCTGTGCTCGGCCGTCCTCGGCGTCCTCCCCACACCACAGGATTTCTGATATTGAACACGTTTAAAGTTTACGATTTTAAATTGGGGCGGCCCCGATCGACTTCCGAGCAGATCGGGGAGGTTAAAATCACTCTGGCAAGATAATCTTTATGTCCATCAGATAGTCAGGCCAACTGCTAACTTTGTCGGAAAGGCGATTCGGGGGCCAAAATCGGGGCGCTTTTCTTGTAGTGTGTAGCTATCCTGCTTTAGCGGACTATGTGTTGTTAGTTTTTTGTTTACCTGGGTAAGGGATTTTCCCGTATGTTATGATCTCATAGAGCAGGACTCCAAAGGACCACATGTCCGACTTGATGGTGAAGGAGCCGTAGTTTATGGCCTCTGGAGCGGTCCACTTGATGGGGAACTTTGCTCCTGTGGAGGGAACACAAAGTTATATCCACATACATGAAAAGTCAGTCTTAAATTGTACAAAGATATCGATTTTAAAGATAAAGATTTTCTCATCCTGAATAACCCAGGCTGTACTACACTCCCACAGGTCTCACTGACACTGTGTCATATGTAATGGAAGCTTTTTATTTGTGTACCTACATTTATTTTTTATTTTCTCTTTCCTTTAGTTAGTTTCACTGTCTTGTGGTTCCACATCATCGATCGACCAGGTTTCATCAAATGACACAAAAATAAATGCAGCCTCTCCCACAAGTCTCAGACTGTCTCTCTATGTACTGCACTGCATTATGGGCCCTGTTTAGACGTGGTCACAACATGTTCCTGGGTGATCTTATCACAGATGGACGGCTCTGCTCACCTGGCACTAACGTGACTTCAGTCAGTCAGACAACTCATGTTTGTATCTGTTTTAAATAGCTATAGCAGCTGAACATAGTTTGTGTTTGGGGTCAAGGCTCTGACCTCATCACTCCTCACAGTTTTATTTGACATGTAAGAACTTGAGGAGTGATGGGATGATATCTTAAACCCCCCCTGTCAGGGACTACTTTCTATAGGTGACCACATTTTAACACAGCCTACTATACTTCATACAAGCTTAAGTTCTTCCAGTGTTGCTGGTGCACTGCTAGGGTAGAGCACGCACAGCGAGGCATTTGATTGGTACTTTCCATCCTGACCTTATGGCAGTATGGGTTGGAGATTTTGTAGACAAACAGCAACTGTTGGGGTGCTAGATAACCTAGCAATTATGTCGCACCTCATGTACGGAGGTTGTAGTACTGTACTTGTTGCAGTGGCCGTGGGTTCAAATCCAACCTCGGCCCTTCCCCCTCTCTATCCTCCCAACATTTCCTGTCTCTCTTCACCTGTCCTATCCAATAAATGCAAAAAGGCCCACAACATATCTAAAAAAAGAGAGTGAGAGACAGAGTTGGTGTTGAATGCAAGTGGCAGTTATATGCAGGTTCTGCATCTATACGATATAATTGTATGTAAAACAGGAGATCTAATCGCAAATCTGGTTGTGTTTCAATATCTGTCTAAGCAGCAACAAACTCTTTCTTAAAAAAACACCAGAGAGAACAACGATTAGAGGTCTTGTCTGCCTTCCTGATTTTAGACCCTGCCTGTGGTTTAATGCCTTCACATGCACTGGTCTTTGGTCTTTGTGGTACTGGTTCACATGAATTGAAAAACATACAGCAATGTGTGAAACCAAGAGTCTGGGTTCTCAGACAATGAAGTGGTCTCCTGCCACATTGCATGTTTAATTCTGAGTCTAGCTCTCTGAGGGGGATTTCATAATGCCATGTCACAAGTATCCAGTAACGGAGTCAGCTCCTTTTGATGGGAAATAGCCTCTCACCTCAGGCAACAATGGAGTCACACACAGTTATTTTTGAACAAAGACACTCAAAGTTTACCCTCTCTGGCCGAGTATTCGTCATCCTCTATGACTCTTGCAAGTCCAAAGTCAGCTATTTTACAGAGCAGACTCTCTGACACCAGGACGTTCGCCGCTCTCAGGTCTCTGTGGATGTAGTTCTTCTTCTCTATGTACGCCATGCCCTCTGCTATCTGCAGCAACACAGGGAAATGTAACGCATAGAAAGTCAATGAATACTCAACTATTGGTTCAAACAGATAAACTGGAAAGAACAACAAAACACATGGTAAAAACACAGACATGGTGTGATATGATATGCAAAGTCATTCACACGTGTTCAAAGCATCTCAAGGCTGTGAATGGTAGAGGAAATTATGCAAACGATCTATTTAAACTAGGGCTGTCAAATGATGAAATGTTTAAATCATGATTAATCCCTGAATTTCAATAGTTAATCTAGATTAATCACATTTTGACCACCTGTCTGAATTCCATTATTTAGCATTTAAAAAAACTTTATTTTTGGCTTTTATATGAATTTCTGTCTCACGCTGAGGGGTAGTTCACTTCCTGTTTGAATAGAAATCTGCTTTTTTTTATTAATGCATTAATCTCAGACCTTAATTGATCACTATAAATGCACAAAAGTTGACAGCCTTAATTTAAATATACTAAAAGGTAAGGATGACCAAAATATGGTGTCATCCTTGCCTTTGTTGGACACGCCCCTCACCTCCATGCCAGTACTCACTGGTCTAACAAGTGGGCGCAAAACTGTAGCTGTTTCCACCCAACAAACCTAACCAGCGTACCTTTGCAGGTGCCTTATTGGCTGATATATATGTGGATGTATTTGATTGGTTGTCTTTATGTATTTTTCTCATGTTTTTTAACCTTTCTCTCAATTTCATACCTCAACTATTTAAATGTTGTGTGCATTGTGTTTCCTGATGACCCTGATGATGCTGGGTGAACCTGAGGAAGCTACAGGCAAAACACGCTGTCCGCTCATAATAAAGTGACAGTAAAGACATTTTCTGTTTATTTGTTTCATCAATTTTCTTAACTCTGACCTTCACTCTTAAACTAGTGCTGACACAGCAAGTCGCTGGTTAAAGTGGCTAATGTGCTGGTGTTATAATAATCTGTCCCTGGTGGATATCTCTTCTTTCCATTTGGATTGGCTTTGTTTGTATTCGACTTTGTTTGACTTTCTATATATTTTTATTTACTTAAGGATTTAGCATTACATCAAAATTACATTTTAATGAATTAAAGCAAACACATGAATGCTTGATTTTACTGAGACTGTTTTTCCTTGCTGTAAATAATTTTGTAATTCTAACCAGACATAAAACAGCCAGAGCAGCTGCATTTAAATCTAAGTACGTATTCATTCATTGCCAATGTAATTTTAAGCACATTCCTTCATATCAGCTGAATTAAACTACTTGACTGGCGACATGCAGCACAGACTGAGAAGTCTTGAGGTTACTCAAGGAGTCAATTACAAAGAAATAAAGATTAACTGGAAAGCCTTCCTCTCTACTTCTCTCAAATGAAAACAACATGACGTTGTAAAATGGTTGGAAATAAAATAAAAAGAACAAAAACAGAAGTTGGGTTTCAACAGTGAGCTTTCAAATTTGTACTCTTGGTTGTAGATCCTACTTTCAGTTCAGCAATGGAAACTTTGCATTTATTCTTGAGGCCTTGAGCAGTTAAAAATGCTCCGTATTTCCATCGGTGTGAGGGGTACCTGCGCTGAGAAGTCGATGAGCTTTGGTAGTTGCACTTTGCCTCCTGCGTCACTCTTTAAGAAGTCTAACAGGCTCCCTAAATACAAGACAGAAAAAGTCACATGACATGTTAGTTTTTGATTTTGTACATCCTGCTAAGCTCTCTTTTAAAGATGAAGTCTAAGGTCACTGTAAATACCGTTGGCCATGTATTCAGTGATGATATAGATGGGGGGTGTTTTGGTGATCACAGCGTAGAGCCGCACTAGCCTGTTGTGCTGCAGCATCTTCATGACGTTGGCTTCCTCCATGAAGGCTTCAACCGTCATGGTGCCTGGCTTCAGCGTCTTCACTGCCACTGTGGTGTTGTTCTTGTAGAACGCTGTTCATAAAGAGAAGCAAGACAGAGACTTTTTGAGAAAGGGATATTTTCTATTTCCATGAAAGTGTTAGCCATAGTTTGGACATGAGGCTTATTTATGACGTGTTTGACTGTCCTCTTGGTAAACCTTGTGAAAGACATCTGGATCTCAGTGGGTTAAATTCCGTGTAAAAGAAAGGTTAAATAAAATCAAACTTCCCTTATAACTCACAAAACAATAACAATGGGGATGTAAACTGAGTTTAGTTAAGTTGAACCTTAAGCGATGCTGTAACAACATTTGTGCCTGAGCTACATTGTACACGTTAAGTAAATTGTAACCCTGTAATATTACACATATAGAAGATTGCTATTGAACTTAAAAAAAGAGGTCAATAAGATAGTGCTGAAAATTGAAAAGGTACAGTATAGGAGGTTTAAGCTCCTATAGTATGTCAAGCTCAATAACACAGCATCCTACATATTGCATGATCAAACATTATGTCATCACGTCATCAGCTGTAAATGTGTATTTAATTAAAACCCGTCCTGCCTGGTTAATGTTTTCAAAAACAGTGTCTGAGTTCATAATCAACACATAATCAGGGTTATTTGTTAAAACTTTAGAAATTCCCTTCAGACATGGTGGTTATAAAGTACAATGGCAATATGATTTGTTCTTACAGCAGCACACATCCTAGAAACCAGCAGAAAGTGGTAGCGTGATGTACATGAGACTCAACGGCACTGACTGGCTGCATGTTAGCTGTACAGCTTTACTTTATTACATGTCATCCTTAAGACTATCATTGGCTAAAGTATTATTTACAATCATAGGTTACATTAGCTGATGATGTCATTTAGAAAGTAACTAACTATATCCACTCGGGTAGTATTTCTTCTCGCAATAACGTTAGCTGTGAAGTAAAAAGTCTCAAGTTAGCCAGCCTGCTGTTTCTTAGCTTTGCTGCAAGGACATGATTTTGGTAGATTTTTAATGTTGGCTGAAAAGTATTGAGCAAACAAAAAGATAGCAATCAACCAGCAAACATCAACCCCATGAATCCGGGTTAATTAAACGACATTAAGACACTATTTTACCCAAAATCAAGCTAGCAATTAATCAGCACTGAGGATCATCTAACCCTTAGCTTTGAAACCAGACAAAGGTAACCCAATGATGTGAAAGCCCTGTTGATGTTGAGCCTTTTGTTGCCTCAGATTTCTGTTGTGATTGTCTTCACTCAACACATCAGCCCTTTTCTGAGCTTTTTGTCAGACTTTAGCCTATATAGTGGTTAACGTTGTTCTTTTGTTCAAATTAGCAGACTCTATTGCTAAAGAGGGAAAAACCTCGGAGCTCACATGAATGATGAATAATGAACTATATTGCAGCTTCGTGGGTAAACTGAACTGCATCTAAACCAAGCAACACAAATGTGCTGTAGTATGGAACATTTTACAGACAGAGATACAGGATAAAAAAGGAAAACAAAACTGGTACAGTTTGGGTTTGAACTGCTGGCTGCACTATGAAACTGACTGCTTATGTAATATTATTACTGAACCAATAAAACAGAGTTTCACCATTGTGTACTTGTCATACTTGAAACCTGGAGCTCGTCTTCCCCATCATTATTCCTCCTCTGAAGTAACCCCAACCACAGAACATGCATCCATTGCTCTGACGCCCTACAACTTCCCTCTTTTTTTTTTAAAGATGCGCAACAGCAATTGTGTAAATGTTTTCTAACATTTTACAATAAGGTTGTTTAACAGGAGACACAAATAAGAAATGTGACAAAGTAATTTATCATGGTTGGTATCAGACAATGGTAAGATTAACCCATAAAGCTGTGCAATAAAACCATGTTTCCCACTTTGCACAGCCCTCTCTGATGTGTTTCATCACCACTCCCAAACAGTGATGCAAATCTCTTCAGACTCAAATGTTTCCTACATAGATGATAAAAACTGATAACCCTCATACAGACAGGAATTTGAACATCCAGAGCCAGTAATGGGAGCATGTTTTGAGCACAGCCTATTTCCAGAGACAGTAGTCAGTGCTTACAAATATGCTCTACACGTAAAAGGTAACAAAAGAAGGAAGTCATTTTTGTTTTAATTAGGGGGAAATGGAACTTCCCCGTACTGTTCACTTCTGCAGCTCTGCAGTTTATTTACAATAAATGAGAAAAAGGATTTCGAAATCGTCTGACCTGTAAAACTGAACGAGACAAACTGGCTGTCACCTAACCACCAATGTCAAAGAGAATTTATAGGAATATTTAAAGGTGCTGTAATAAATTAATTAAGGTCATATTAGTGCCATGATGTGTAAGCCTCTAATCATGTCAAAAGTACATTTAAAAAAACGTTCAACATAAAGCTGGTTGTACCATTAATCGTATCTTCACATCTTCCGGATGTATTTGTATCATAATCTGGTAAGGTTATGTTTTTTTTATGTATAAGCTGTCATTTGATTTGCTGTTTTTTAGGTTGACGTCCTTAAGATAAGAAATAAAATACTGTCTATTAGGTCCCTTTTGTACGATCTGAATAATTCATGCCACCCTGATTGAAGTAAGGAAGAGTCACTATGGGCAAAACATTGAAAAAAAGGTTGTTGTTACTTATTGTGCAAATCCAAAGAAGAAACCAGGAGACTTTTTTTAATGAAGACAGAATTTCAAAACCATCAGTTAAACCCTTTTCACACATATGGAAATCTCCTGAAAAACCGCATTTTTCGCGCGGACTACCCAGAGTTTCTCTGGCCAGACCCTTAGTGTTTTATCCGCAGAATATCCGAGTGAGCTGATGGCTGAACGCGGCAGCATATACTCCGGAGGTTTCCATTTCAGCCAATGGGACCCGAGTGATGTTCATATACAGTGACTGTCTAAAGTGTCTGCACACGACCACTACGATCTCCGTGCACGTAATTAAACAGCTGCATTCTGTTTTCTGTTCGTCAGTATGTTGTTCTCCACTCTTTTGTGGATGTTGTCATTCCATTGGATTACACATAGCATTGATATAAAGGCAAATATTCTCATTATAACATCGTGTAGCGGACTCTGTTGCTTCGGCCGCTACTTCCGCGTTGTTTATTTACGTCACGTCTTACGTCGAGAAATCCCCGAGCTCCCTCCCCTCTGACAGGGAAAGTCCCCCGCTGTGAGGAGCATATGTGAACGGCTAGTTCGGGAGAATCTCCGAAGAAGTCCTCCTGTAAATATCTAGATATTATCCGGAGTGCATATGTGAAAATGGCTTTAGAGTTTTGTTAAAAACGGGTGCACAATCACATCACAATTACCACTTTTGGCCACCACAGACAACCGATACGATACGATAACTAAACTAAGCCAAGCCCAGTTTACTTTGTACTCACCCATCCAAACTTCTCCAAACTGTCCTGCTCCGAGTTTCTTCACCATCGTGATGGATTCTTTGGAGATCTCCCAGGCATCGTTATCCCACGGCTTCTGAACTTTGGGTTTCACACACGGACGATCCAGTTTACGACACAGGCCATCTGATTTACCTGGAAGATACACATCTACATTAGAACTAGGGATACACATCAACATTAGAACTAGGGATACACATCTACATTAGAACTAGGGGCATCCTTAAACAGGATGGAAACAAAATATCCATTGGATGCCTTTTCAAGCACTCAAATTATTAGAATAAACATTAGATATGTAGTTAATGATCTCATTGTACAATACTTGAATTAATCTGAATATATCAGGGGTGTAAGGTGACATTTCTGTAATACGGATGGTAAATGTGTCAATTCAGAAGCTGTACCCACTGTGGTAGTGTTTGATCATAGCGCCAATGTTGAGGAAAGACACTTTAGGAGAGATGTAGTATCCGCCATTATCCAACATCCTGATTTTATAGTGTTTGACTGAATCTGTCCCCGAGGTGTCCATGTCTCTGATGGACAAAGAGTAGCTTCCTTTGGGAGAAATCAGGTATTAAGAGAGTGAGTGATACGGTGGCTGACAAGTGCAAAGGCTCGGCAACGTCTGAAATGACTTACATTAAGAAAAGCATGCAGCATATTCAGAAATTCTGAGAATTAAAAGCACATGCAACGACTGAAACGCACTGGAATAACATTAATGACACGCATCCATCTAAAAAACCTGCAAATGGGCTCCAGGACTGTATGGGGGAGGGGGGGCAGGTCAATGTTACAACTTATAACAAACAAGAGTGGGTGATGAAGACGAAGAAGTGGATTTATTGTTTGGATGAGAAAATGTCTTAGTTTGACAAACTAGAGAGTAACCCTCACACTCGGGACGAGAGAGTTAAGCAGGTTTTGTCGGGGTAACCCTGGGATGCCTGGAGCCAGCACTAACTGCAAGGCTTACACATCCCCTGTTCTCAGACCTGTGTCATTTTCAGCCTCCACATTTGTTTTGGACTTACGTGTGTGCTTTTTAATCTGCATTACATTAATGCACTTTTTGCTTAGTGTCAATAAGTCAATTCTGCCGTTGCAGAGCCTTTGCACTTATCGGCCACCATTAAGTGTTGATTTGAAATGGAGTAATGGGTAATGAATGTCACTGTATCTTTGTCTCTCATGTCTGTTTTAATATCGATACCTTTCGATGTTTCACTTTCCCTGATAAGATAAGAACCGGGCTTGTTTGCTGGTGCCAACAGCTGCCTCTCTGCGTCCTTTCTCGTGATGTCCTTGAAAAACCACCTGCAAACACAGAGAACTCTGCTCATGTACAGGATGATCATACTCTTCCTCATGAGTCCATCAGTCCATGCATATTAAGTGCCAGTTATCTATGAGCAGCTGCTTACGCCTCTGTTTCGATGGTGTTCACTTCGGCAACATAGTTGGATGGGATGAAACCTTCTTTCTTGGTTGTCAACGACTTTGCTTTCCACCACTCCCCATGTCTGCAGAACATTTCAGCATATTTGAGCACGATTATTGTTTTTCTTTGCCTGTCAGTATTGACAAAGTACCTAAGTCTAGTTGTCATGAAGAACTGGACAACCCTCTTGAACCCTGTTTTATCCATTAAGTACCATCTTCAATGGATTTTAAGTAGAATCAAACTTCATATATGCATTAACACATCACATATCCAATCTACAGCTTGTTCAAACATAGTACTTATTCATCTTTGCAGCAGCATTTGAAACGTTTGGTTGAACACTAGAATGTAAAGTATGTCCTCTGAACACTTTTGGTGATGCAAGGGTCAGTAATGATTGATGGACTATCAAGATTGATGAAAGTTCAATCAATCCTCATGGTGTGCAGATTAAACAGGCCTCAGTTTTGGACCTTGTGTAAGCATTGATCTTGGCCTCATATGATGTAATCAGTCCAGCATCAGTATCAGAGACTTACTCCTCTAAGACTTTCACCATTTCCCCCTTCTTGAATCCCAAGTCATCCTGATGCACGGCTTCATACGGGTATAGGGTGATCATTATTTTACCGACACTTTGCTCTGAAAGGGAACAGAAAAGGGTATCAACATTTTAAGCACAGCTCAAAGGAATGAAAAGACCCACAGCTTGTCTTTGATTCCCCAGTTCTATCTCAAGTGTAGGACATGGATTACTCTAAACAAAAACATCCCAAAAGTGCTGAAGAGATGATGACAAACAAACAAATGGAGACTACATAAGGAATCAACCAGGGTAGAACCATTTATAACAAGTTAATACAATTTTGTTTTTACTGAGGATGGCATTTTTCGCTGAGATGTTATTATTGGCTCACAAGTCTATCTGGAATAGTAAGAGTCTCACTCAGTTTATAGTCCAAATAACAATCAGTTGTGATGGTAATAAATACCTTTTTTTTCTGTCAATTTTCTTTTTATTCATTTTTATTAGGAGAGTGCACATTAATAAGCATGTCAGCAAATGGCATATGCCGGAATTAGCACAAAAGCTAAATTGCATCCTTAGTTCTCAGGCAGGTACTAACAAAACATAAAACAAATTTACAATAACAGGTCAAAGGACAGTCTACCAGCACACACAAAAAAAAACCTCACAGACATTTGGACACAGTTGTCGCATAAGAAATAACAGACCCACATGTAATTAACTAATTCATATTGCAGGATGAGCCAGACCCCAAGAAGCAGAATTGGAGGTCAGGTATTACATGTAAGGAGTACATGACTGATTTGTTTTTAAAGTGATCGTGAGTTTTAACTGAAAACTGACGTGAAGTTTAATATAACAATGTTTTTATTAGTGATTCCAAATATTGAGGTCACAGTCAATCATCTGGACTAGCTTATTGCAAACCAGCAGGCCATAACTGTTGGCTAATGCTAAGCTTTCTGTGTTTAAGCTAGGTCAATAGCAAGGCTAGGTGGATCCTAAGCTAGCAGCAGCCTCTTGTGTTGAGAAAACTGCAGATTCGTAAGTGTTTACTTCAGACTGGCTCCAGAAGGCAAGGAAACCCCATAAGATCCTATATTAAAATGGCTTAGGCTTAGTTTTCTTTTTAGTTTTCTCTCCCTTTCCTAGCATTTTCTGAAGAGAAAGGCTATAAGATAACATGACTTTTGGCTTCACACTTTTCAAATCAAAGAATATCAGGGCTTTGGTACAAAATAATGTCTGCCATACCTTCCATCTTTTGGAACACCTGACCAGGTAACAGTGAGTTATTCTGCAAAGATTGATCAACAATTTATAAAGTCAGAAACAATGTTGGTGTCAAATGATAACACAGTTATCAATCAATATCTATCCATGTAGCTCAGAGCAGAAATCAGTGTCTCTGTCAAAAACTTGAAGCTTGTTTTGCTCAGCTGCACATCTCAAGACTTACTATTATGTTTTTTGTAATGGATGAGGTGGGGTCTCTGACATAGTGCATTTGCTCAGTACGTACAGTCTGCTGGCTGCTCTTTCCCTCCAAGCCTCCGCTCAGTGTGGACTTCATACAGCCCATCCTGTCTGCATGAGGAAGTGAGAAGAAGGAAGAGTGAACTGGACTGTAACACATTTAACATTCACAGCTGCTAAGACAAAGAACACTTATATATTTGGCAAGAAACACACCTGTGATGCATTACTTAAAAATAACACAAAATCTAACCACTGAGAAGGTCTTATTTTCCCTTGTTATCAACACTTTTTTAAAATAGAATAAATGAACATATCAGTCAGAAAGAAGAAGCAGGAGGTGTAGTTTGCACATTTTTGAACTTACAAATCAAAACATGGAAGAAACCATCAGTAATGCAGAGAGCAGTGTGTAAGAATAAATTCCACTCAGTCATCTGTTGGGAATTCCACAAGGTTCCATTTTAGGGCCCTTACGTTTTAGTTTATTTATAAATGATTTACCAGACAGCTGCAAAAGAGTCAACTGTCGAATGTATGCAGACGACACAGTTATATACGTCTGCAAAGACCACTGCACTAAGATGGCAGCAGAGATCCTCTCAAAAGAAATGCCTGGTGTCGAAGTTGCTTTTGAAATAGTCATCTCACCTTTAGCTATGATAAAACAGTCTCAATGTGTTTCTCAATAAAAAGAAAAGCATATGATAATTTTAGAACAGACATTGATGAGAAAGAGATACACGAGGTACATAAGTTTTAGGCGTTATTTTAGATTATCAGTTGAAAGGCATAACTTTTTTACAAACATGTAAAAAAGTTATGCAAAACTGCCAAAACAAATTTAAACAGGACAATATATACCACTAAAAGCAACACAGCAGTTTATGCATACCATGTTTTTTTCTCATTTATCATACCGTATAACTGTTTTGGGGCCAGGCTATCTAAACCAAAATTACACCTATCGGGTCATTATATAAACAGGCACCAAAAATAATGGATCAGAAATCATTTAGATGGCACCATTTCCTCATTCTAAAGAAATACAATATACTGAGTTTTGACAGTTCTGTAAACTTTTCTTTTTTAAATCTGATTTTGAAACATGTAAACAACCTTGGTCCAGAAACAATCTGTCAGCTAGTAAGCAAACCAAACAGGGTAATCATAACAAGGTCTACATCAGGTGGAAACTGTAGAGCACTAAAACATAGAACTACATTTTCTCAGTCAGAAATGACTGCAAGTTCTCAGTATCCAGACTCAACCCATTTCTCATTTAGTCTTGCACATAGATTAGTCTTTGCTTATTTTGTGTTTATTGTTGATGTATGTTGTTATACTTATGTATATAGAGAACATAGTTCACCAAAGTCAAATGCATTGTGTGTGTGAGCATACCAGGCCAATAAAGCTGGTTTGATTCTTAGTACTGCAAAATACAATAAAAACCCTGTGGCTAAAAAACATTTTCACGTGGTACACCAGTTTACAAAAGATATGTCTATAAACTATTGACAAGACATCTGGGACTCTCCCCAAAATCAGTAATATTTATGCAGGTCAAGACTCATTTTGATTCAATTCATGTTCATTTACTACACATTTAAATGTGTAGTAAATTTGAAGAGCAATATATCTGCTTTGAAGAGCAATATATCTCAGATTTTAGTGTCAGTGTTAATCCTCTGTACTCTTTTCTGCTGCATGCTGAAAGTTTGTGGTTGTGGATGCAGCTGACCTGTTCTCTGCTCACCACTGTGAACAGAAACCACTGACACACTGACATTTGCATGCAAGCACGCACAGACATAAACACAACCAAATGATTGACAGAATCTTTTAAACCTCAAAAGTTGATTTGCGATGTGTGGCTTTGCATTGTCTGTTTGCAGTGCAGCAACCGAAGAAAGAAAAATCAACGTCTAGCACACATCCTGATGCATCTCATTAAAATCTTCAAAAAACATTTATGCAGACATTTCAGCAATGACAGTCATACACACAGCTTATTTTGTGGTTCTATCTCTGGCATTAACTTTATTTTTAAAGTAGCCGACAAGGTGTTCTATAAAAATGTGCTGCCTTGTTAGGATAGCGCTAAATGATAGCAGACGCAATTTGTATCCACTATCCAACAATGCTACCAGAACAAAATAACTTAATTCACCTCTCACTCCATATGAATGATCAGACAACTGAAGTACGTCCATTAAATGCAGATGAGTTGTGTCTGACCCCACCCCTCTCTGGAAGGGCTTACGGCCCTGACACACCAAGAAGACTGTCGTGTCGGCCGTCGGTGAGCAGTCGTCGCCACTTGTTGAATCAGCATGAGTCTGGGCGGTTGGGGGTAGGAGTCTGTGTGTGTGTGTGTGTGTGTGTGTGTGTGTGTGTGTGAAAAATCTGCAGAGACTTGAACTGACTTGGACTATTTTGACAAGAGTTAGTGGGAAGAAACAGTTAAAGCAACCAAAAAGGTCATGTTTAGAAAATAGAGTGTGTTCTTCTTGATTTATGAGTAAAATAAAAAAAAAACCCAAAGCTAAGTCTACATGTGTTTACCATCCATGATATTTGTGTGTGTGAAGATGATTTAGAGTAGAGCAACAGTTTGGCAGTTTGTTCACAGGCTACATGCTTCACTGCTTCAGTGCTTCTGGTGTATATTTAACTTGACAGTCAGCAAACAGCAGGAAACCAAGGGTCTGAACAGATTAGGAGCACACACACACACACACACACACACACACACACACACACGCACTGGATGACCAAGATACTAACTTCCTCTTTTACCAAAATGCACAGAGCCACAAAGACTGGAGTGGTGAAGACATGAAAGGGGATGAAATTCATGAAAGAAACTCAAATCTACTGCAGAGTTTCATGCAACAAATAAATCACACACTACATTGTCTCCTTGATCTCATGCTAATGCTGTTTTTACAACATGCTAAATTAAAATAATCTGTTAATTTACAACAGTCTTTGACAATTTTGTTTTTGGGAGTGTTTGTAAAAGCGATCAAAATGGAACTTGAAGTTCAATAAGAAGTTTTTTTTATGAAACAGCTGGAAGAATGTTATAATAACTGAAATAATTTAAACAAACATTAAAAGTCACTTTTTTAATGACAAAGAATGAAAATAATTAAATAACATGTAAGCCAATATTTTCCAACCTTTGACTTTGTACACCAAATTAACTTTTATTTGCACATCTGTTTCTTCCTCTGTGTATGTGTTTGAGAATGAACACGCTCTGTTAGGGCACAATAACATGACGCACAGCTCTGAACGCTGTCATTCTCACCTCACCGATTTGTGCTCACCTCTCTCGCTGTGTTATCCAAGTTGGTGAAAAAGTTCATCCACTGTTTTTAGTCCTCAGATTTCTTCTGTGTTTCTCATCTGGTTGATAACAGACAAGTCCACCGACACTCTATGGCTGTTCTTCTCTGACAAATGGGTCAGCCGGTCGACAATGGTCTGTCACACTCTGCCACACAGAATGAGGAACTTAAAAGATACCAGTCGGGGATTTTCGTTCTTACTGAAACTTCCTGGTACAATTGTTTAATGATTATTTGCATAGTCAGCAACACACACACACACAGACTGGGGGACAGAAGACAAACAGTATTTTAGTGTTCATATTGTCGAACAAATTTGCTATTTCTTAAAATAGGAAAGAGTTTGACAACAATGTATTAAATGTATGAGAAACAGAATCCCTTGAAGGAGTTTTTACAAACATTCAAACTTCCAATGACTTTTCCTCATTAATTAAAATATTTTATCCTAAATGTATTATTGTTACAAAAAAACTTTAAAAATCTGTACAGTGCTTTTTTCACCATAGCTTGAGTGTCATGCACGTTGTCCTGTAATGTTTGATAAAGCACGCCACCTGTTGGCCAAACGGCAGAGTTACAATAAGACACAATCTGCCCATTTTACTGCGACCAGTTTTTTTTATTCAGTTTGGACACATTGGGTAAAAAATATGACGACAGGCAGTCAGACAAACAACTACACATTGATCAGAAACCATGCACCTGCAGTCTGTCTACATGCTGAGTTATGACCAGCAGGGTTCACACAGTGTCGTTGCAGTGAGAGTCACTATACAGTCACACGGCAGTTTACGACTTGAAAACCTGATTGGTTACGTTTTTATAAAACACAGTTATGTTTGCCTAATTCTCATCAGCACGTGTTAAGACTGAGAGAGAGAGAGAGAGAGAGAGAGAGGGAGAGTTAAGTTGCAGCACTACATCGAGATTACACTGGGGGAGAAATGAACGATTCACACGGTTTGAACAGTGCATGCATGATGGTCTCTGCGGGTCATGATTGTGGGATGTTTCCAGAAAACAGAAGACTTCACATTCACGTGTTAGATCACTGGAAGCTCCACTGAGTATTGCATATGTACATTTAGGGAGTAGTTGGACATTTTGTGAAAAAAAACAACACTTTCTTAATTTTACCGTTGAGAATAAGACTGCGTGATTTGTAGCTATTCACTTCATGTACACTAAATGTGTAGCAGGAGCCAGCAGCAGGTTAGCTTATCTTCCCTTACCAGCCTCCCTAGCTTATTGGTCGTTAATGAACAATTGTTGTACTAAACACTTAAAATAACCTTCATGAAACCAAAGAACACAATAAAAAAAAAAAAATGGAAAAAGTAGGAACACATGTGGCTCATCTGCAGGCAAACAAAAATATAAAATAAAATAAAAGTACAGTACAGGAGGAATCAAAAGAGACTTTTATACCACACATGTACAGATTTTGCTTTAGCTTAATATTAAGATTGAAAAAGTGTATTGGCTCAGTCTTAAGTAAACATAATTCAGCACCTCCAACGCTAACTAACCTTCATTTTTTCCCCCATTTAATTACAGTGATAGCTTTAAGTGTTCATTTATAGTAGTTATTATTTAACTTCTGTGAATCTAAATAATGTGCTTCAGAGGCGCGTGTTGGCAGATTTTCTTATTCCAAGACAACGCTAGGCTAGGCTAGCTACTTGCTAGTTAAAACCTATGCTAAGCTAACCCTCTGGATGACTCTGATGACAAGAAAGCGTTATCAATCCTCTCCTCTACATCTCGGTCAGAGATTAAAAAAAGCTAATTATCTAAAATGTCCAACTCCTTTGTGATTATAATGCCATTAATAGAAGAGTTAATACAAAAACTAAAGTATAAACATCTTGAAAGAAAGTACACCACTATCTTTTATCTTCTCAAGCTATTAAAAAGTGTCACCATGCTCACTGTATGTGTATTAATGGTTAACAGAACACTCACACAACCAACTCAGTGCCGTCCAATAATCTGCAGTTTCACACACATGATATATTACCGGGTTGTGTCCTTTCGAACACAACAGAGTCAGTGAACACACCTTTACACGTATAAAGTAGTGTGTGTGTGTTTGTTCAGTGTTTCTCAATTTAAAAAGGAAGCACAAGCCATTAACTGGCAATATAATCTCTACCACCATCACTACTAACCATGCTACTCCCACTGTGAGCCATCACATCAGCATGTCTCGGTGCTCTAACAAACTGCCTGCAAATGTACAAAACCCACTAAGACTCTGTCTGAGTTCTCTTTTTCCTCCAGTCATCCAGCCTGTTTGTGTGCTAACTATGACTGAAACTATAATCAGCTGTAAAAGAGCTATAGATGTGTCCCTCTGCTTACTTCAACTGTGAAAAACACACCATGCCATCAGCCTGTTATACTAGTGCACAGCAGAGCCACAGGAGCATGAGAGCACTGTGTGAAGACATCACCGCACAGCACCTCTACACTGGATTTCAGGGGTCAATGCCATGCTCATAGGCACCTCAGCTGCAGTGATGCTACCCTCCAACAACCAGCCTGCTCTGGACGAACGGAGTCGTCACGCTGGCGGCTGGAATCCCTCTCGCGACTCTCCATCTAACGGCAGGAATGCCGGGCAGGCTAGCTGTTCCTCTGCTCTGCCTTCCTGTGGGCGGAGGAGGAGCTCTGGCTGTCATCAGTGTCATCTCCGTCTGTAGGAAAAAAGGAAGGAAAATCTGAATACATTTATGCCAGACATAATCATTTATAAGATGACATGTTTTTCACAACAAAGGTACAACATGGATGTAGTCGTAGTGACGTCACCCACTAGTTATTGGCAGTTGCCATGTTGGACATACTGTCTCACACTACATTTCAGTCAACCTGGACCTTGACTTTAAAGTGAAAGAGTCGGAGCTGAGGCGGGCCTTAAGCCTCCTGGCAAAAAGCTACAACGTGCCCCCACCTGTCAGTCAAATCAGCCACATCTCTAATAATGTATTCTCAGTTCTTAGCTTTGATTTACTCCAAATCGAAGAAAAAATCCATCCCGCTCTTACAGTGTTTCTCATCTCTTTACCAAAGAGATGAGAAATTGAAAATCGTATTTTGTACTAGGCTGTAATCATGTGCATTCCTGCAGTCAAAATGGGAATTTTAACATGGGTGTTAATGGGACTTCTGGGATTTTGCAGAAGGCCTCAAGTGGACACACCAGGAACTGAAGTTTTTTGCACTTCCAAATTGGCTTCATTTTTCAACACTGGAGGTTGTGGCTTGGTGTTTTTACTAGAGCTTGACCAATCAATCTGCAAGCCAGTAATATTAGCCGATATTAGCATATCCGCTGACTATCAGTAATGGCTAATTTGATCACAGAAAACTGATATTACTAGATTTTTTCCAGACAAATTTAATTTAATTTGAGTATTGTTGTATTGCACTAGCAGAGTGTCAAGCGGTGATGCACGTACATGCAAAGATACATTCCAGTTGAGTGAGCATCTTGTCTACGTTATAATGTCTTTCTTTTCCTCAAGTGTTTGATGACTGCATTTGAGGGATCAACACAATACATGTCTATATCTAAATCAATCCATCTCTACAGATCAAAAAAATAGATCTGAGAAAGATATCGGCCAATATATCGGTACCGGATTTTTACTCTCCCCAATATCGATATCGGCCTCAAAAATCAGATATCGGTCTGGCCCTAGTTTTTACACATTTGATACTCCTATCAGACAAAGCGCATTGCAAGTTACAAAATGTGATGCGCTGTGAACCGCCTTCTTGGAATAAACCAGGATTTTCCGTAAAAATGTCGATTTAAGCTCTACCATGACTCTTATGCACACTTAACTCAGAGAGCTTTTCATCCAGTTGAATACTGGGAAAAGATTTTCTAGTTTTCAAACTAAAAAATATTTAACTGTAGGCTATATGAATATGATTTACTAATATGCCTCAAACATATGCATAATGTTGGTTTAAAACAGGTTGTAGGATATATTTCCAACTTAGTCTGTTTTCATCAGGAGTGCCTCTCTTTCTTCTTAACACATACAAACTCTCGAGAACTAACATGGTACAAGTTGAATTAACAAAATGCAGAATTCCATTCATAGTTTAATGACCGCCAGTTCAAAGTAAGTAAGTAAGTAATTTTACCTCCCCCTCCTGCGTTGATGTGCAGCTGGGACAGAGAGAGGGTGAGGGGCAGCTCTCGTCCCTCGGGGTCAGTGGGACTCTGCAGGATGTCGTGCATGGCGTTTCTGCGTCCTGTCCTGCCAGAGGCGATGAAGTCTGCGTACGTGGCCTCAACATCAGACATCGCTTGGGCATCGTCCACACAGCAATACCTGTGAGAGGACAGAAGGAGTGATTAACAAACCACCTCCACATGCTCTGCTCCATTTAATCTTATCCAGTGAACTTGACTGAAACTGCGGACTTACCATTAAAGAAAGGGAGAGCTGCACTTACCTTGATATTATACATGTCTTTTGCACATTTATTATCATACTTTTCAACAGTGATTAAAAAACACTGACTAAGACAACCTAAGATGGCAGTTGACTGTGTTTGTCTCATTTTTATATTGTTTAGGATATACAACTCAAACTCACTATTATAAGCTAAATAAACGCAGAATTTGACACATGGGAGTATTTTAATTTCCATAGTTTAACAGTGTGCAGTGTCTCATGCTAAACCACGCAGCTTGTCCATAGTAAGGCCCTAAGGTCAATATGTTTTTATTATTTTACTCGAAGTAGGTCCTAAAATACCTAATGACGTCTTTCATCGTGTCTAGTTCCCCGTTTCTGTCTTTTCTTACCTTCAGTGATAGCTCTGTCCGTGTTGTAACCCCGAGCTACATTTCTAGGGAGTGACTTCACCTACAAATCCGCGCGGCGGGCCCGACATCACATCAAACGATCCGACACGACACATCAAACAAAACGAAAAATGCCGACACCGGCCTGACCAGTGCGCAATAATCCACAGACCTTCCACTCGACCTCCAAACTGCGACGAGCCCAATATATACGACTAATTTCACCAAATTAATCTCATCAGTGGGATGGTTTGTAAAGTCCCCTATCTGTTCTCCATGGCCTTCGCATCTTCCTCTTTCCCGACCAATGAGCGTTCAGGAAACCACAGCTCTGCGCCGATTGGACAAGAGACACAAAAGGATGATAGAGGAGAAGAGAGGCTGAGAAGCAACGAGGCTCGTGTTGCATTCATGATCGCCTCGTAGTTTTTAGAACCCTGCAATTTCAAGGCAATTTTGAAGTAGTTTGGTGAAAAAACAACATTACTAAGTGTCTCACGGATAATGCAGAGATTAGGTTTTGTAGCTTGAATGGACACATGAGAGAGGGGAACGCAACATCAATTTCTAAATTCTTATTTTATTTAAATGAAGACTCCAGAATACATTTAAAAATTCGTTCTGGACTAAATTGCTCATTGTAAAGTGAAAGATTACCTGATAAGATCTGATAGTCAAAAGTTGGCTCCCCATTACAATGTGATATTAAACTGGAATCAATGTACCAGCAGATAAATATGTTTGTTTGTATATAGCATAGGCTATATGTTTATTTTTTATTTTTTACCACATGATGGCACTGCTGTCCACATAAATAATTACAGCTGCCTCTGCCAAATGATTACCATTTTACATTTTAAAAGAAAGTCAGAGGAGTAAAGTCTGATAAGTAAAGTCAAACTCTGATTCTGGTTCCAATGATTAATGAGAAATTGTGTCTGCTAGTTGACGCAGTTAGCTCTGATAAGTATTGGGTTCTCGTAGGGAAAGTGTCATTTTTTGATGACTGGGAGGCAGACTAAACTTGGATAGTGGTTCTGTAGGGCGGCTAGGAGGCAAATAGGGGCACCATGCAGTTTTGAGGGAGCCGCTGGGAGGCTGACCAAATGGGGTGAGCAGGATTGGACTTGATCAGGTTTGGCGGCAGAGAGGAGACTTCCGGACCACCAATGGGGAACCAGGAACAGTTGTGGGCCGGATCACCGACCCTGTCTGCCTGTAAGGAAGGAGAATCAGGAGGAGTTGGACAGACCGCTGAGGGAGAACCAGGAGTCAGCCAGTCCACCGAGAAAATCCAGATGGACCCTCCATTCTAGAAATGGTTCCCAGCACTGTCAGCATGAACAGGGGGCTGATGACACTCCGCAGGCACAGGAAGTGGATGGAGCTCTGTTGGCATTTACAGAAGCTGGTTTGTTTCAAGAAAATTGATCAATTTCTCTGCCACTAACTTTTGAGAGGAACAATTGAGATTGGCCTGTAGATACAGGCTATGTCAGGGTTAGAGTTTTACCTCCATGTTTAAATGTTTGAGAAATGATTCAGCAATAATGGATACATTTATCATGTGCGTTATGGGATTCATGAAAGTCGAATGCTTCATTATGAATTCAGTATCTAATCCAAGTATATTTTTAGCCTTGGAGTTGTTTAATTGATTATTTGTGATATACTGTAGGCTATATTTTGCCTTCATCCGTCTGTGTGAAGACAAAGTCGGCTGATGTCTCGTTCACTGAGATGTCTGACAGAACTATTGGTTGGAAGTTTGCTGACAGCTCCTCCACTGAACAGGGATTTAATGCATTTGCAGCTATGCTTTGAGATCTGATCACACCATTTACATTTAATTGGATTACACATTTTCTCTGATTAGACTCTCACTTAGTGAGCCTGTTAAAATGTCTCCTTAAAGAGGAGCTTTTCCCCTGACTGTACGATTAACTTTACAAAGTAGGTAGTCTTTGATTTTCTTTGTCCTTTTAAAACAAAAATATATGTGCATAATTTTAAAGCAAGGTCCCTCTTTTTCATCATTTCACAGATATCTTTGTCAATCCAGGGGAGAGATGAGCTTTTGTTGCCGGATTTTAGTGGTTTTGTAAATTGATTAATTGTCTTTGAGTCCATCCAAATATTCTATTTATTAAAATCACATGATTGTACAACTGAATCCCATTTTCTATTATTTACTTCATTCTCAAACTGTGGCATTCATGTTCTTTCTAATCACTTACTGTAGATTAATTCTATTTGGGCCAATTTAAATATTTTAAATGTTTTTTGATAATTAGGGTCAAATTATACTCTGACAGGACTGTCAATAAATTATAACGTCATGTCACTCAGTGAGGCTTGTTGGTAAACATTAGATCTATAAGTGGCCAACAGGGTACACCGTGCACAGCTTGCAGGCTGTGGCTCAGTTGGTAGAGTCGTGGAAGGTTGAGGAAGGTTGAGGGTTCAATCCCCAGCTGGGCAACAAGTCCGATATGTCCTTGGGCAAGACCACTACCATCAGTGTGTGAATGGGTTGGTGTGACATGCGTGTAAAAGCGCTTTGAGTAGTCGGAAGACTAGAAAAGTTCGATACAAGCTCAAGTCCTTTTTCCAAGTCCAACACGTTCTCAGGTGCGTCCCAATAAAATACAGTAAAGTTATTTCAGTGTGCCACAGACTTATGATTTATTATTACATCTATAAGTGTTTTACTTGTATGTGTGAGTCTTGTTGGGCTTTTTGTCATTTAATGCAATTTTTATTCTGATGTGATCATTTTAAATTTTAAACCTGGGGCCTGTGAATCATATCTTCATATTTTATGTTTAGTGTCTCCATGCCCCTCTGTTTATTATCGCCAGAGCTGCAGCTGAAATATAACTTCTCAAACTGTTATAAACGCCACATGAAAGAGTCACATCCAGTTAAGGGAAAAAACAGGCGTAATAATCGCCAGTTCTAAGGTGAATTATGGGAACAAACTATAATATGTTTGCACATTAATACTCTCCCAATTTGTATTTTTTTCTGCCCATTGTCCTTCCTGCATTTGTTCCAGCAGCTGTATAACTTTAGACTTTGGGAGCCTGTTTGTCTTTAACTTCCTCATATTATTATATAGTTTGTTCAGCGTTTGTTAGGTATGACGATCTGCTGACTCAGTGATGAGTGATAGGTTATAGGAACCTAACTCCGCCCCTTTTATGTGAACGTGTTCTTGGAAACTCTGGATTTACTTCTCAGGTTGATAACAAGCTTCATGATGTGACTCTTATGTCAGGGCTAGTGAAGACAGATAACCAAAGATATCCTGGGTATTTTAAACATGCTTTGTAGTACAGGCCCCTGGTCTCGCTCAGAGCGAGGAAGTACAGATTAGAGTCCGCCAGGACATGTTGAACCTGATCTCCCTTAGATAAAATACTGAATATTTAAATGACCTCCAAGAATTCCTTTTAGTTTAGACTTCAGGTTCAAAATGATCTTTGCATGGTTTGCCATTCGGAAATACCTGACTTCCTTTTTTTTAGCCTCATAGCACAATTGCCTAAATCATATTTTGGCGAAATTGTGATATCTGCCTAACTCTACTCTCCTAACACTGCTGATTCACTGTGCATTATTGGATATGTCCTGAACAGAATGCTTGTTACATTCCAAAATCACTATCTGCCTAAGTCATCTCATTGACTTATGCATTTGTGACGCTACAAAGATGGCCCCCTTGAAAAACAGGTCTCATCTGACCACAAGTGAAGCATTAGCTCTTCTCTTCTATTCATCTGGTAAGCTAGCTCATATTTCTTCAACTTTCTATAATTTAAATATACTTTCAGTCGATCATAGGAATTATGAACTGCAAGGTGTGGACTCGAGTCACATATTTGGAATGTGTTTTTCTTTCTTTTCTGAAAACCTTAAAATATGACTTAGACAATTATGCTATGAGGCTAATGTTTTGTTTGTGTGAGGCTAACAAACAAAGTGTTCTGTAATAACCAGTAAGTTCTGTTATTACTCTTCTGTCTGTGAGCTTTTATAACTGTTAAAACAGAATCATAAGATAGCATTTTGAATAAAATGGTGAAAGTCCAGGCAACATGCTCTTCAAGTTGTTTTTAATGGTTTGACTTGAATGTTATTCATTAGGGGAATAAAAGCATGCAGTTCTTTAGTGAACAGGCTCGGACCTTTTCAAAGTTCATCCTGCTCTGTTTACAGTGTCTATTATTCCAATCAATAAAAATGTCCAAACCAGTTTTTTTATGCTGCAGTTGACAAATTTTAATAGAAATGATTTGAAGGAAGAAAGATTACATCACAATTAGTATGTTATGACGCTGACAAAGAGCACAAATTGGCTTGAAAGAATGAAAGCTGTTGAAAATAAGAAGGTCAAAGGTAATGTCTTGTATCGTGTCTTAAGGGTTCAGTCTGGATGTTAGCAGTGAGTCAGCGATCAACGCCTCCTGCGGCGCTTCGCTGGAACAATGGTTGTTCCTCCTACACACACTGCTCTGTTGCACAGACAGCTCTCCACCATGGTGTATTTGTGCGGGACCGTGGTGCCATCGTCACATTCGAGTTCCACCTCTCCCTCACTGGTTTTGTCTTCTTGGCAACACTCACACTGATGCATCATGGCGTTAGCTGCAGCAGAATACCTGCACACACACACAGACAACAGCTTGTAACTTTATTCACTGAACTGCTCCTGTCATCTCTGCATCTACTCACAGACCTTAAAACTTATTCAATGTGAAAACAGATTCAACTAAAAATAGAACATCCTCTAGGCCAAAATGAAAAACTTAACCTGTCTGTTCATTAAAGTCATTCTAGTTTTTAGATATGCACGTACCAGCATGGCACTTTTATTGATGGCATGTATGTACTTCTTTGTGAGATATGACAACTAAGATTTGCTGTTGGCTCACTTGGCTGTGGCTAGGTTTGTTAAGTTGGTTATCTATCAACCAGAAGGTTGTGAGTTCGATCCCCAGCTCCTGCAGCCAAAAGTCCGATGTGTCCTTGGGCAAGACACCTAACCCCAAGTTGCTCCCGTTTACTTCATCAACGTGTGTGAATGTTCATGAATGAGATTAGCTAATTCTGATAAATCACACCTGGGCAGGTCTCTGTCTTTCTCTCAGTCTATATCGGCTCGGTGAGGCATTCATGTTGGTCAAGAATATTTGTGGCTCAGAAGTAAAAGCTTCCGTTTAAGTGTAGGGATAGCTGCTCACGAGCAGGGTTAGGTATGCAGCTTTAGCCTGGCGTACACTGTCAAATAATTTTTTTTTTTTTTTTGCTGTGAGCTCTGGTCGTGTGTCTTGACAATCCACCTTGAGTTTTCTACAATGCAGGGGCAGGTGCATCTAATCTATGGCCGGAATAAACTCTTTAAAACCACAAGACTTCCATGACAGAAAAAGCAAGTTCCCCTCCCCATAGTACACAGGAGTTGGTAGTCTCCTCCTGACTGGATCAGTCAGTGTGTTTGTGTCATCTCTGACTTTTGGAAGTTTATGGTAAGTTTGTATTCTGACACAACACCTGTGAGTCAGTCATATACATTATTGGCATCAAACAAATCCATCTTTTGTCAAATGTCATATAGGGAAATGAAAAGACTCACATGGACATGCTTCCACAGTGTCCAGCACAGTATGTCATGTTGACTGGCTTCATGCTCTCACAGTTGTTCACCTTGATGATCTCCTGCTTACTGTGGATTTCACAGTCTCCGCGCACAGTGCCTGTAAGACACAGCAACAGTTCAATATTTGCAACACGCACTAATAATGACACAGCTTTGTCCTGAATTATCATTTAAATATTTTGACTTTACTACAGATTCTGCAGCATCCACTGAGGTCAGTTGTCTCCGTGCCCTGAAAAGAGAAGACACATGTTATGGTGTGATTAAGACATGGACGATCTGTGTTGAGACAGAGGAGGCGTATGAGCTGCAGAGGTCGGATTTACTCACAGGTTCACAGTCCAAGGGGTTGAAGTAAGGACAAATATTCTCTCTCTCTTTAGTAACAAGCTGTCCGTTGATATTCTCACAGACATACTCCACACATTTGTTATCAGGAAGAGTGAAAGTTTCGTTGATCTATATTACAAGAAAGAGCAGAAGATAAGTAAGCCAAAACATTGATTATCTTTATCCTTCTCAGCTCATCTGCCAATCAAGCTTTACCTTACAACAAAGAAAGTTTACCAATAGTCTAACTGTCGAAGAGAGGCTCTGGCCTTTGTGTAATTTAAACTCATATTATTTAAAACATTCATGTTTAAGATGAAGGTAGTGTTATTTGTAGCATTCATGTATAAAACAAATGTTAAAAGTTATCAGTTATTCCTTTAAATAATGTGTGAAAGACTAACACTTCTACATAACTAACCTCGATTACATGTCTTGATTTGTCAAGAGCGATGAAGACACAGCTCTTCTGGACACACGTGCCACAACACTGGTCAGGTACCTCCTGGTATTCAAAACCCTAGAAATGGATTGAGGGAGGAGAACATAAATTACCAAACATTTATTTTTCCAGCAATGACATCATGTGCTATTATAATACTTTTTGATACATTAGTGAAAATCTGTGCTCTAAAACCTGATTTCTCTCTTGGTCTAAGACTTTAATTCCAATTTTCAATGCTATGCAGATGATACTCAGCTATACGTCTCAATGAAGCCTGATGACATCAATCAAATATGTAAATTAGAAGCATGCCTAAAGGACATAACCACCTGGATGACCAGACATCTTTTGGCTCTAAACTCAACCAAACTAAAGTTATTGTGCTTGGCACCAAACACCTCAGAAAGACTTTATCTAATGATATAATGATATAACTGTCCTAGATGGCATCAGCCTGACATCCAGCACAACTGTTAGGAATATGTGACTTCTATTTTATCAATATATTTCCTTCAACTCCCCCCCCAAAAAACAATTTTGGGAACAGTCTATATATATTCCTTCACAACATCCATTCGCAAAAAGGGCTGGCTCAGACTTGGACCGACTACTAGTTATACTGCTATTGGACCTTGCCTGCTGAGTTCCTGTCTCTCCCTCAAGCTTTCTATGTGGATTCTATATTTGCTTCCTTATCTAAAAGGTTTCTGTTGATTAGTTATTGCTTACTACCTGGTGCTGTGGACCTTCTTGATGTTAACTGCTGCAATTAATGGCATCAAATCAAAAAAGGGTGGAAGACAGCAAGGCAAGCATAATATATTCACCAAATAGAACATGTACTGGTTGGCTAATTCCTGCAGGTAAAAGATAGACGCCATGCTGATTTTTTTGATTCATGTTACTCCAAAAATACACCTTTGCTTAATAAAGGGACTCTATACACCCCCTTTTTAAAAGATATCCAGTTGTGTTCTGTTGAGTAAACTTTTGCAAAGATAAATAATTGTGCATGCATTTGTTTGTGAAACTTGTAAATGAGCTTACTTCAGAGCAGTTGGTGTTGCAAACAATAGGTTTGCATTCAATGATGTTCACCATGGTGATTGGATCCATATGTGGGCCACAGTAACACTCCTGGCAGGGCCCAGGTACAAAAGGTGTTGTTCCTGATGATTGTCCAGGTCCTCCCTCAGTTGTACCTGATGGTTGTCCAGATCCACTTCCAGTTGTACCTGATGGTTGTCCAGATCCACCTCCAGTTGTACCGGATGGTTGTCCAGGTCCTTGTACTGTTGTACCGGATGGTTGTCCAGATCCACCTCCAGTTGTACCAGATGGTTGTCCAGGTCCTTGTACTGTTGTACCTGATGGTTGTCCAGATCCACCTCCAGTTGTACCTGATGGTTGTCCAGATCCACCTCCAGTTGTACCAGATGGTTGTCCAGGTCCTTGTACTGTTGTACCTGATGGTTGTCCAGATCCACCTCCAGTTGTACCGGATGGTTGTCCAGGTCCTTGTACTGTTGTACCTGATGGTTGTCCAGATCCACCTCCAGTTGTACCTGATGGTTGTCCAGATCCACCTCCAGTTGTACCGGATGGTTGTCCAGATCCACCTCCAGTTGTACCGGATGGTTGTCCAGGTCCTTGTACTGTTGTACCTGATGGTTGTCCAGATCCACCTCTAGTTGTACCGGATGGTTGTCCAGGTCCTTGTACTGTTGTACCTGATGGTTGTCCAGATCCACCTCCAGTTGTACCTGATGGTTGTCCAGGTCCTTGTACTGTTGTACCTGATGGTTGTCCAGATCCACCTCCAGTTGTACCTGATGGTTGTCCAGGTCCTTGTACTGTTGTACCTGATGGTTGTCCAGATCCACCTCCAGTTGTACCTGATGGTTGTCCAGATCCACCTCCAGTTGTACCGGATGGTTGTCCAGGTCCTTGTACTGTTGTACCTGATGGTTGTCCAGATCCACCTCCAGTTGTACCTGATGGTTGTCCAGATCCACCTCCAGTTGTACCGGATGGTTGTCCAGATCCACCTCCAGTTGTACCGGATGGTTGTCCAGGTCCTTGTACTGTTGTACCTGATGGTTGTCCAGATCCACCTCCAGTTGTACCTGATGGTTGTCCAGATCCACCTCCAGTTGTACCGGACGGTTGTCCAGATCCACCTCCAGTTGTACCTGATGGTTGTCCAGATCCACCTCTAGTTGTACCTGATGGTTGTCCAGGTCCTTGTGCTGTTGTACCTGATGGTTGTCCAGATCCACCTCCAGTTGTACCTGATGGTTGTCCAGATCCACCTCCAGTTGTACCGGACGGTTGTCCAGATCCACCTCCAGTTGTACCTGATGGTTGTCCAGATCCACCTCCAGTTGTACCGGACGGTTGTCCAGATCCACCTCCAGTTGTACCTGATGGTTGTCCAGATCCACCTCTAGTTGTACCGGATGGTTGTCCAGGTCCTTGTACTGTTGTACCTGATGGTTGTCCAGATCCACCTCCAGTTGTACCTGATGGTTGTCCAGGTCCTTGTACTGTTGTACCTGATGGTTGTCCAGATCCACCTCCAGTTGTACCTGATGGTTGTCCAGATCCACCTCCAGTTGTACCGGATGGTTGTCCAGGTCCTTGTACTGTTGTACCTGATGGTTGTCCAGATCCACCTCCAGTTGTACCGGATGGTTGTCCAGGTCCTTGTACTGTTGTACCTGATGGTTGTCCAGATCCACCTCCAGTTGTACCTGATGGTTGTCCAGATCCACCTCCAGTTGTACCGGATGGTTGTCCAGATCCACCTCCAGTTGTACCGGATGGTTGTCCAGGTCCTTGTACTGTTGTACCTGATGGTTGTCCAGATCCACCTCCAGTTGTACCGGATGGTTGTCCAGGTCCTTGTGCTGTTGTACCTGATGGTTGTCCAGATCCACCTCCAGTTGTACCTGATGGTTGTCCAGATCCACCTCCAGTTGTACCGGATGGTTGTCCAGATCCACCTCCAGTTGTACCGGATGGTTGTCCAGGTCCTTGTACTGTTGTACCTGATGGTTGTCCAGATCCACCTCCAGTTGTACCGGATGGTTGTCCAGGTCCTTGTACTGTTGTACCTGATGGTTGTCCAGATCCACCTCCAGTTGTACCTGATGGTTGTCCAGATCCACCTCCAGTTGTACCGGATGGTTGTCCAGGTCCTTGTACTGTTGTACCAGATGGTTGTCCAGATCCACCTCCAGTTGTACCGGATGGTTGTCCAGGTCCTTGTACTGTTGTACCTGATGGTTGTCCAGATCCACCTCCAGTTGTACCTGATGGTTGTCCAGATCCACCTCCAGTTGTACCGGATGGTTGTCCAGGTCCTTGTACTGTTGTACCTGATGGTTGTCCAGATCCACCTCCAGTTGTACCGGATGGTTGTCCAGGTCCTTGTACTGTTGTACCTGATGGTTGTCCAGATCCACCTCCAGTTGTACCGGATGGTTGTCCAGGTCCTTGTACTGTTGTACCTGATGGTTGTCCAGATCCACCTCCAGTTGTACCTGATGGTTGTCCAGATCCACCTCCAGTTGTACCGGATGGTTGTCCAGATCCACCTCCAGTTGTACCGGATGGTTGTCCAGGTCCTTGTACTGTTGTAACTGATGGTTGTCCAGATCCACCTCCAGTTGTACCTGATGGTTGTCCAGGTCCTTGTACTGTTGTACCTGATGGTTGTCCAGATCCACCTCCAGTTGTACCGGATGGTTGTCCAGATCCACCTCCAGTTGTACCGGGTGGTTGTCCAGGTCCTTGTACTGTTGTACCTGATGGTTGTCCAGATCCACCTCCAGTTGTACCGGATGGTTGTCCAGGTCCTTGTACTGTTGTACCTGATGGTTGTCCAGATCCACCTCCAGTTGTACCGGATGGTTGTCCAGGTCCTTGTACTGTTGTACCTGATGGTTGTCCAGATCCACCTCCAGTTGTACCTGATGGTTGTCCAGGTCCTTGTACTGTTGTACCTGATGGTTGTCCAGATCCACCTCCAGTTGTACCTGATGGTTGTCCAGATCCACCTCCAGTTGTACCTGATGGTTGTCCAGTTCCACCTCCAGTTGTACCCGATGTTTGTCCAGGTCCTTGTACTGTTGTACCTGATGGTTGTCCAGGTCTACCTACAGTTGTACCGGATGGTTGTCCAGGTCCTCCTCCAGTTGTACCTGATGGTTGTCCAGGTCCTCCTACTGTTGTACCTGATGGTTGTCCAGGTCCTCCTCCAGTTGTACCTGATGGTTGTCCAGGTCCTCCTACTGTTGTACCTGATGGTTGTCCAGGTCCTTGTACTGTTGTTCCTGATGGTTGTCCTGGTGTTGTTGTTCCTGATGGTTGTCCTGGTGTTGTTGTTCCTGATGGTTGTCCTGGTGTTGGTATTTTGGAACCAGGCTAAAAAATACAGATTATTGTTAATTTTCAGTCATTTCACTTACATATACATACATATGAATACTTTATTTCTCTAGTCTGCTCCAAAGAGAAAAAAAGACCCATTGTTGCTTCATCCATCCTGACTTATTGCAAAGCAAACAAGTGTTGGTATGACTGATGTATAAATTAATAAAAACATTATTAGCCTCTAGTATTAAATCATAGACGCTTAATGGATCCATCATTAAAATGTTTTTTTTATTTTTACCAGTGCTTCTCAACAATCTCAATAAATCTGAAAAAGATCTAATGAAACAACATTCGGTGTTATTCAAGACAATAACTAGACTTCATACACAAAGGAAAATATACAAATATAACTTGTATTTTACTTCCTGATGTAACTGCCTGCTCCCTTCTAAAAAACTGTCTCTCGTCATCTAGTCACAATATAAATGCGTTAATGCGTTACATTAACACCCACTGGACTTGGGAAAATGTATCTTCCTTACATGCACTCTGTGAGTAGTTACACACACTAAGATTTTTTTTTCTCATAGTCCACTGCACAGCTCCTACATTGAACCTTTTATACATTTTGTGTTTTTTATTTTTTATATTTTACATTTTTTAATTCTATTTTATATATTGTAATAGCTTCTTATACTGTATTATTTAAGTTGTTGCCAATTCTGCTTTATTTCCTTGTTAATTGTTTAGCACCAATACACCAAGTCAAATTCCTTGTATGTGTAAATGAACTTGGCAATAAACCCCGATTCTGATTCTGATTCTGAAATATGAATTAATCGCAACCCCTACAGTTTAAACATCTACTTGTTAGTTTATAAGCGTAAATGCTGACTTTCATTGCAGCAAAGTTAACCTTTACATGAGCATTCACTCCTTCACCTTTTTGTACCTGAACATTGACTAATTAGTTTATTTATATCTTGACTTTGAACAGTACACTTACCATGTACTCAGTGCCTTCAAAGACACAAACGCCTTTAGGTTCTGAAAAACAAAAAGAAGAGGTACAATTCAGGTAAGTATCGGCCCTTGTCTATCAACATTTTGAATAGACATTTTACAATTTTTTGACCACAGAAAAGAGACCACCAGTGAAAAGATGGACTTTTCTCATTAATATATAATTAAAAGCTCTTCTTAAACATCTGTAAAGAGATACCACTATGAACTGTACACAGAGGTTGCCAAGATCAGAACAGAACATTGAAGTTCCTTACAGTGGCATAAAGTAGTAAGACTGAAGGGTGGTCATCCTTTTTTTTTACCTACACTACCTTGTAAAAATCAGCTGTTCATGCTACTGAAATTTTAAATGTTTTATTTTACAGCTTAGTCTTCTTCAGACATAAACGGTAGGATGGTTTCACAATACAGCCATGTGTTTAAGATTAGCACAGTTGTTTTACATTACATATTATACACCCGCACATTCTTTTATTCTCTGATAACAGATGCACATTGACAGATTAACATACCACACTTGAAGGACTTGCAGCAGATGCCATCTGTGTACGTCAGTTTGAAGCCCGGCAGGCAGGTATGTGGATTGGGACACAGGGCTTGGTCACATTCTGTTGGGGCACATGAGGATTTGATAATTAGGACTATGTGTTGACAACTGACAAGGGATTCTTAAAGCGTGATTCTTAAAAGAACTATAACACTGGTAGGAGCCGAGGAGATTAAAGAAACGCAACACACAAAATAAATCACTTACACACAGCAGAAATATTAATTTCCCCAAAATTCAACAACAAAGAAAGGAAGTAAGCAATTTAGGCTGAATCATAAATTACATTGTCTAAAGCATCACAATTACAACTGGTGACATTTTTAAGACTGTGGTTTAGTTTCGCCACCTCAGCACCCCTCAGGGGGTTTAAAGGGGCAGCTACTGTAAGGGCTGTGTCAAACACAGATGAAGCACACTGAGTCTAAAACCTCAGGAAGAAGTTCTGTGGTGGATTATTAACCAAAAATCCCTAACCAAATTAAATAAATACAAGACCAGTAGGCGAACCTGTGTCTGTTGGACAGTAAGACTCTGTAGTCAACGGTTTCAGAACTCTATAACACTAGATGTGACGTGGTGGGATGCCTTTGAATGTACAGATGTAAAACAGAATTTACAAATCCTTTGCTAATCATTGTATTCAGTCCAGATATCTAACAGGAGAAGTCTTTGAAACAAGTCTGTTGTGTTCAGTTCAGTACAATCCAGGAGCCACCTAACAATCTGTTGTGTATTTCATACACTGTTTACTCAGTGGCCCAACTAGGGAAAGGGTTGGAACTTAGCATAAATATAAACTCAAGTTCATGCTCTGTATTGAAACTATGTTACACCAAATCATTTATATTAAATGAAACTAATTAAATTCAATAGACCCCCACAACTTACCACAGATATATTGTGTACAGCAGCCGTCTGATGAGGATACCAGAACTTGGCCTTCTTCACTGCAGTCGGGGATCTTCATTGTCTGGCATGGAGTGCGCTTACACACGACGCTCATGGAGTCCATGTCGCAGGTACAGTTGTTGCAGTCACTTATCCATGTTTCACCCGGCTGGTTATCAGACAAAAATGTTCAGAGACACAACTTTGCTTTGCAAATTTACACAGTTATGCATGTTAGAGGAAGATTTCTCACCAGTTTTGGTTTTCCATCAGGTCCTGTACAATCTGAAATTCAAATAGAGACAATTGAATACTGACTGACAGCTTTTATGTGAAAAGTTCCATTACGCAGTCATAGTATGTTTCCTTTGGGTTCCTTACCACAAGCGGGCACACATTCGTCATAGACTTGATTGAATAAAGTGGTGTCTTCAGGACAAAAGCAACCCTCCTTAGTGTCAGTAGAGGATGGAGAGGATCCTGCGTTGAACATGCTGTTGTATCTGAGGTCAGAAATGAAACAAGTGGTTATTACAGTGGTGTGTAAACTTTAAGATGTAAGGTTACAAAACAATAATCTTCAATCATGGTGATAATTTATTAACTTGTCTCTAACATGATAGGTTTTCATGCTCCAATTTCCATCCATAGATTCACCCATTGGTAAAGACAAGCACAGTCTGGCGCTGAGATTGACTATTACACACAACAGCCTTTAAAATGAACAAAGTTTTTATTTAATGACCATTTTTAATTGTGTTTGTTAAGGTTCATTCCTGTTAATTTATCTTAACTTTTACCCCACTGTTTAATTTAATTAACAACCCTGATACCTGACACCTGAAAGGAGGGTGTGAGGTGGGTTACAATTATAAAAATGGTGATTAAAACATTCAGGGCCTGATTCACTAAGAATGGATTGCGGACGCTAATAACTACATAAATTGCGCGTCATATTCTTCTTTTATTTGCTCCATCTCAAGCATATAGCTTGAATGACTGCATAATGGATGTTTGCTCCTCAGCCCAGTTAAGCCTGGCTCACACTGCAGGATAATCGGGCTGATTTGAGCTCCGATTCTTCCTTCCCAACAATCGCAGGGTCTCTCCCGACTCAAGGCTGCTCGGAACCGATTATCTGCTCAGATTATCTTGTAGTGTAAGTGGTACAAAGATCCAATCTTAACCCCCGATTTATTTCAAACATGTTTGATATTTAGAATTTAAAATCTTTACGATTCCATCATGAAAGGGTCTGGCAGAAGTTGTGTGTGACTTCAATATAATCACGAGAGACAAGGGAGGAATGTAGCCATGGCGACCAGCAGCAGGACACAACCCGGCGTTTTATTTTTTACTTTTCTGTACAGATCATCAGTGCAGCACTTTTCTGAAACTTGTATCCATATATCTACGATTGTATCAACTTTCCTCTATCCTACAACAACTTTCACTTCCTTCTCTTTCACCAACCGCTGTCAAAGTTTTCAAATGAAGCTTTAACTGTCAACGCTCCGTCCTGATTTCACCCGTACAGTGTGAGCTCTCCGACAATCGGGTCGTACAGTGTGAGCACATAAATCTCAAGGTCTGGTCGGGTGTCGTAAACGATTCAGTCGTACAGTGTGAGCTGACATGCCACCCCGACTTTTATACAATCGGGGAAAAAAAAATCGCACAGTGTGAGCGAGGCTTTAGCGGAGCATTTAAACCCTTTGTACTTGTTTAGTGAATCTGATGGTGTTTTTTTTTTTTTTTTTTTTTAATCTTTCTTTATTATGATTAAAACAGAACTTGAAAAAAGCAGAAAATAAAACGATATGAATCAGTAAAGTGGTGTTAAAATGTTCTGCATTGAATACTGAATTAAAAAAGGACAACACTGTTTTCATTACCTGTCATTGCATGTTGGCTCTACAGCTGGTCCACAGGCCTTGTACACCTTGCCCTCTGGACACCTGTGCTCTGGAAAATGGAAATAGAATTAAAGTTTTCAGCACTCAACACAACAACTGTAGTACTTTACACTACTGACTATAGATCTTACCACACATCCCATTGGTTCTATTCCTCCAGTCAATACAGATTCCTTTTTCAGCACACAAATCAGCATAGGTCTCCAGAATGATGCAGGTGACATTGATATGTGGTATTTCAATTCCACCACCGTTGCAGCCGTCAATCTCACAGGATGAAATATATGGGAATGCGGGAATGACCGAAGCACACTCCTCAAATATACTAGAAGGATACACAAACACGGCAGAACACTTTGTTATGAATATTCAACAACTTTAATAAAATAGAAACTAAGAGTTCAGGTCTTCGGAAGCACCCTTTTTCTTGTATATTATGAACCAATTCTTCAGTGTAGGCCTATAACGTGACGCAGGTAAGGATGGGTTGGAAAACGATTCAGGTAATCAGGCAGTATATAAAAATGTTTAAAGAGCGAACTGACAATCAACATCGGCAACTGAAACGAAGGAACGTTGGCTAGTTAGCAGCCTGTTAGCTAAGCCAGCACATGGTCAGGTCTCTCCAAAATCCTTCGAAAAAGTTCAATGTTTTTTTAGAATACTGCGGGCACATTGGTTGTCATGGAGATTCCAATTGAAGTGAATGGACCTCGGGTTCACTTTTGATTGTATAAATGTGTTAATAGTTTTAGGTCATTACATACTTAAGACAACAAACAGTTCAGGAGTTAATTAAAGCACTCTCTTTTCTCCTCACCTGCTCTTTAAGAGTTCACAGATCGGTGGTTTGCAGGGGAGCTGTGATGTTATGATTGTTGTGCTTTGGCTGGTCACTGCCGTTGAAGTTGTTGGGGGGATTGTTGTGGTTTCACAGGGTAGACCTGGGACTACCCAGGAGGGTGCAAAGATATTGCAGGGTCCCTTCTCGCCATTTGGATAACGGCACTCATTGATCTGGGAGTTGTCACAGGTTCCTGGGAAAGGAGAAGAAGCAATTGTTCACACATGAAAATGGCTCTTTACTGGGCTGTTTGAATAAAATATGATGGACCTGATTCATAGCTAAGAAAGAAAAGGGCCTTATTATAGACTACTGAAAGCTTGAAGCTCCACACTGTGACATGATGTAACAACTTAGGCCTAAAACAATCAAAAAACACATTGCATGTAAGGCTTTTGTTTTTGTTTTATATTTAAATCATCGGGCAGTTTAGTGACTTAAGCCGTTTTCACATTATTCACTCCTGAAAATATCTAGATAATTTCAGGTAGGCTGCTTCGGATATTCTCCTGACCTTACTGTTCAAATATGCACCTCCCAGTGGGAGGGAGGGCGGAAGGCCTCCTGAGGTAAGATGTGACGTAAAAACAATGAACATGTGGCAGATGAAGCAACAGAAATAGAGAGTCCTCTATATCAGTGGTTCTCAACTGGGGGGTAGGATCCCAAAAGTGGGTCGCGGTGCTGTTTTCAGTGGGTTGCGATTGTGTGCTTTGAAAAAATGTTTTTGTTAAAAAAGTCCATTAGGTGCTTTTTAAACATGTATGTTTTATTCAATTTCTTTGTTATGTAACATGTTTTGTTTCGTCTGAGATCCAAACTGCACAATTTTTCATGAAATGAGTCTGATTGGTTGAAAAATTGCAGAAATTTGGGTCGCAATTCATCTGTGAAGGAGTTGGTAGTGGGTCCTGAGGCAAGACCAGATGAAAACCACTGCTCTATATGATGCTACAATGAGAATATTTGCTGAGAAAAATGATCTCATCACGGATGATTCACAACTCAAAAAATTGTGTATCAAATGTGATCATTCAGCTTTATAGGGTTGGGGGTTCTTACTTCAAGCTACCCATACTAACTCTTTGTAACTAGTTTAGTTTATTGTTTAGTTGGCCAGGGATGTACAATGTACAATGTACAATGTACATTCATCTCAATTTATGAGAGGAGATGCATTGCACCAGATTTAGTTGATTATGTTGATTAGCTGGTCAATTTAAGTTGCCCTTAAAAATGACAGAACAGGTTTCCAATCAGCGATGACCAAATATAGCAACAGAAACAGGTGTGTGTGTGTGTGTGTTCTGGTTACTCACCACACTGTCCCTCAGTATTCCCATGGAAGAGATCATATGGTAGGTAAATGCTGAATGAGTTGGTTTTATAGAAGATTTTTGTCTGAATGGAAGGTATCATCAATGTGATTGCCATATCTGTGCTGAAGAGGGACAGGTAATGATTGGAGTAGGCGGGATAGATCTGTTTCCCGTTTATGAACGCCTGTAGGACAGGGAGAGGAAAAACAATGACACTTCTAACTCCAGCTGTACTTTCCATCTTACTCCTTTGACTGGCATCAAGTCACAGAATAATGAATGGGGTTTGTGTATACTTTTCTAATTTTAGCTTACCACAAGGCCTTCGCTCTTCAACTGAGTCAAAACGATGGTGTTGTTGTTGAACTTCACGATGACGGCCTGGGGACAGAACGTGCTGTTCGCAGTTTCACATCTATGACTGTCCAACATAATAGACAGGTTGTACTTATACTGGATCTCTTTGACAAGGTAGTACTTGCACAACTGCTTGAAAACGTAATCGACTCCATCAAATGTGTTGTAGTGCCCAGACCAGACAGTGCATACACCTACAGGAGAAGAAAAAACAGATGAAGAAATAGTTAAAAGTGGAACAAACATAACACATATTTTATTTCACCAATAAGTCTGATCGTTTTCTGAGCAGGAAGTTTCAACCTCAGTGTCTTTCAAAGCGAATTTATAGACAAATTTGAATTGGTTCTCTTCGGTGTGCCACTGAAGGTCTCTGCGTGCAACTGCACTGTCGTAAACACAAATAGTGTTGTTAGCCCCCCTGCCCCTTATTAACAACATGCATTTCATGACAAGCAGAGAGTGGAGAAGCAGGTGTTCTATACAATAGTGCCACCCATCAAGATGTGCTACCATGGTGCTGTGTGCAATAGAGGGAGCATGTTTGATTGGGGCTTTTTGTCTATAGAGAATTGATTCCTCTAAAATCTTGATTTTTGTATTATAGAGAATCAAAACAAGCCCCCCTCACTGGAGTTGTGATGTTTTAAAAGTGATTATGTACTGGGAGCATTCTAGGAGATTATTGTCCATTGAAATACACTTCCTGTGAAATCTTATAATAGGGCACCAACACATTCTCCCCAGACTGTGACAATCCATAGGGAATGAGTATTGAATCAATATAAAGTTATTTTGTTACGGTTACTTTATTCTAAAGGGGATAAAGAAAGCCCTTGCCATTGTTTCGTGCTGTGGTAGCATTTTTTGACATGGCAGCACATCTCGCCAGAACACAGGCAAAGATGTTGTGAGAAGACAAAGAGCCATGTGGACTGACAAAGTCCTCTAGACCAGCTTCTTGCTCAGACACTCTTTCTTTTTCTCTCCGCAGCATCATCTGACACCGCCCTCTTCCATTTTATCAAACAGTACAGAGACAAGCAAACTGGCTGCCTTTTAGCTGAAAGCTGTGAACTAGTGCCGTAAAGCTGTACGCACTTCTCATGAGATGCTGCAAAAGTTACATAGTGCGGAAAACAGGCTAGATGGGCGTTCTGTTGACATGGAAGAAATGCCATTTTCCCTCGTGAAAGTTATTGTGCTATTTGTTCAACTTAAAAACCAATAACTTAAGTTGCAAAAGTTAAAGTTTGCCAATTCTTTTGCAGAGAGGGATGTGTTATTGTTAAGAGTGTGAACACGATAAAACAGATATTCTGCTGCATGTTAAAAACTCAAAATGATGAAAGGTTACAATTACGACTTACATTCACAGTCATAATGGAAGCAGCATCCGTTGTCATCATAGACCTTGACAGGCGGTTGTCCATTGGTACATACAGGTTTTTCCACAAAGGAACAGGAAAAAGGCTTCGTTTTGACCGTGCCATTTGTACAGATAGCCATGTTGCAGTTGTCAATCTTCCAGCTCTCATTATGCTGGGAAGGAGGTTAAGAAGCAGAAAGTTATGTGGATGTCTTAAAGGACAAAAACATAACTCATCAAATTTAACAGTACTCAGGGAACTATCCTCTCTGTGCATAAAATGTGTTTTTCTTGGATCCGTACTCTAACCTGAAGTTAGATATCAACATATTGCCTTTTGTGGTTCTTACGCTTGTGTTTACAGGCCATTTGAAAGAAAACGAAAAAATACTACTGCACCTATCACTGCAATGTCTCTTCAAAGTCCAGATGTTTATGATAATGTGCTTACTTTAGGGTAAAAAACCCTTTCTATTCTAAAACTCTGTTCTTTACCTGTCGTGTTTCATTCATGTAGATGCAGTCCTCAGGTGGTGATGGGGTTGTGATTGGTGGTGTTGTAGTTGGTGTTGTGGGACATGAAGTGTTGAACTTCTGAACATCGCACGATGCATTGCAGTGAGCAATAAAACACAAGCCTAAGCCATCATTAACATTGAAGAGTGTATCCCCTGTGAAAGCAGAGTTCAGATCGAAGATTAAAGTAGAAAATTAAAGGTTAGTGAACAGACAGAGAATAGAGCTTTGTTAGGACCAAAAAGGTTAAGAGCTGCATTTTATCAAAGTGGCGCAGCAAAGCAGGACTCTATCTCTGTTTTGTAAAGCCAACATAGAGCTGATATTAACAAACTAAGTCATGGCTGGTTGATTTTGAGCCTCTTTTTAAACATCTTCCTAGTCAGGAACTTCAGAGCTCTATAACAGTGTGAGACACACAGATCACATCACTCGTCGTTAATGACCCAATTTGAGGATATTTTCCTAGAATTTTTCTTAACGTCATAGTAGCCTAATTTATTTCTTTTTGATCTGATGAACTAATCTATTTGAATTTCTCATTTCTGCTAAACCTCAATGTTGTAAATGTTTGATTTTGAACTCTAATAAGCACTCTTAATTGTTTTGTGTGTGAATGGTGCTCCATACATAAACTTGCCTTGTCTTCACTTTCAGCATTTAAAATATGTATATAAATTACAAAATATCTCTCAGGTAAATATTACGCATTAGGATAATCTGTTTTTGTTTTTAGTGGACCGTTAAGTAATTTATGGTTCTCACAGGACAGCCTCACTTGAAATATAAACTTATAAACTGAAGAGCTGAAACTAAACGTATGAATAAATTCGTCCTACTCCTTTTCTGGAAACTGTTCCTTTTGTTTAATTTTGTTAATCATATTTTAATTTTAGGATGGAAATAAAGTCTTTAGTTCATATATTCATATGTGAACTGATTCAGGAGCAATCTGGACTGACTAAGAAAGTAACATATTCACAGTAATTTATGAGCTAATTATTATCAGACTTGAATTACACTACGCATACATTATTATCCTTTTCTATTTAACCCATAACTCCGAATAATCATTTAATTTAATGTTGAATGACTGCGTCAGCTAAATTGCCAGTATGTACCTGCAATTTTTGGATAGTCTGTTTTAAATTATTGGTGACTACACTTTTGAATGTGGGTGTGTTTACTTTAAAATGTTTCATACAATTGTTAGACATTAATATAAAAAACTAAGGTTAAAATGTAGAATATACAGAGTAGCTATTTTATTTACATAAAATATATTTAAAAACACAACAAAAGAGCATTAGCTGTTAATCCTGTGACCCCATGAGGAGAAATGTGATATGAATGTAATATGAAAAGTGGAGGATCACCTACCAGGTTGAAATGAATTTCCATTGACAATGCATGAACATATTGTCGAAGAACTTGTTATAGTTGTGGAAACAGGTTCCGTAGAGGACACAGTTGTTGAAAAGACAGTTGTACTGACTGGAAGAGTTAGTGTTGTTGTGGTAGTTGAAGCCACAGTAGTTGTGTTCTGAACTGGAGGTTTGGTAACCACAGTTGTTGTTGGTGGGGGTTCTGTTACAACAGTAACAGTAGTTGTAGGTGTTGTAGTAGAAGTAGTTGAAGGAGTAGGAGGTGTGGTTGTAGTCTCAACAGGTGTTGTGATTGCAGCTGTGGTTGTTGAAGGAGTAGGAGGTGTGGTTGTTGTCACCACAGGTGTTGTGGTTGCAGCTGTGGTTGTTGAAGGAGTACGAGGTGTGCTTGTTGTCTCAACAGGTGTTGTGGTTGCAGCTGTGGTTGTTGAAGGAGTAGGAGGTGTGGTTGTTGTCTCCACAGGTGTTGTGGTTACAGCTGTGGTAGTTGAAGGAGTAGGAGGTGTGGTTGTTGTCTCAAGAGGTGTTGTGGTTGCAGCTGTGGTTGTTGAAGGAGTAGGAGGTGTGGTTGTTGTCCCAACAGGTGTTGTGGTTGCAGTTGTGGTAGTTGAAGGAGTAGGAGGTGTGGTTGTTGTCTCAACAGGTGTTGTGGTTACAGCTGTGGTTGTTGAAGGAGTAGGAGGTGTGGTTGTTGTCTCCACAGGTGTTGTGGTTGCAGTTGTGGTTGTTGAAGGAGTAGGAGGTGTGGTTGTTGTCTCCACAGGTGTTGTGGTTGCAGCTGTGGTTGTTGAAGGAGTAGGAGGTGTGGTTGTTGTCTCAACAGGTGTTGTGGTTGCAGTTGTGGTAGTTGAAGGAGTAGGAGGTGTGGTTGTTGTCTCAACAGGTGTTGTGGTTGCAGCTGTGGTTGTTGAAGGAGTAGGAGGTGTGGTTGTTGTCTCTACAGGTGTTGTGGTTGCAGTTGTGGTAGTTGAAGGAGTAGGAGGTGTGGTTGTTGTCTCAACAGGTGTTGTGGTTGCAGCTGTGGTAGTTGAAGGAGTAGGAGGTGTGGTTGTTGTCTCAACAGGTGTTGTGGTTGCAGCTGTGGTTGTTGAAGGAGTAGGAGGTGTGGTTGTTGTCTCCACAGGTGTTGTGGTTGCAGCTGTGGTTGTTGAAGGAGTAGGAGGTGTGGTTGTTGTCTCAACAGGTGTTGTGGTTGCAGCTGTGGTTGTTGAAGGAGTAGGAGGTGTGGTTGTTGTCTCACAGGTGTTGTGGTTGCAGTTGTGGTAGTTGAAGGAGTAGGAGGTGTGGTTGTTGTCTCAACAGGTGTTGTGGTTGCAGCTGTGGTAGTCGACGGAGTAGGAGGTGTGGTTCTTGTAACCACAGGTGTTGTGGTTGCAGCTGTGGTTGTCGAAGGAGTAGGAGGTGGGTTGTTGTCTCAATAGGTGTTGTGGTTACAGCTGTGGTAGTTGAAGGAGTAGGAGGTGTGGTTGTTGTAACCACAGGTGTTGTGGTTGCAGCTGTGGTAGTTGAAGGAGTAGGAGGTGTGGTTGTTGTCTCAAAAGGTGTTGTGGTTACAGCTGTGGTAGTTGAAGGAGTAGGAGGTGTGGTTGTTGTAACCACAGGTGTTGTGGTTGCAGCTGTGGTAGTTGAAGGAGTAGGAGGTGTGGTTGCTTGTCACCACAGGTGTTGTGGTTGAAGTTGTGGTCGTCGAAGGAGTAGGAGGTGGGGTTGTTGTCTCAACAGGTGTTGTGGTTGCAGCTGTGGTAGTTGAAGGAGTAGGAGGTGTGGTTGTTGTCTCAAAAGGTGTTGTGGTTACAGCTGTGGTAGTTGAAGGAGTAGGAGGTGTGGTTGCTGTCACCACAGGTGTTGTGGTTGAAGTTGTGGTCGTCGAAGGAGTAGGAGGTGGGGTTGTTGTCTCAACAGGTGTTGTGGTTGCAGCTGTGGTAGTTGAAGGAGTAGGAGGTGTGGTTGTTGTAACCACAGGTGTTGTGGTTGCAGCTGTGGTAGTTGAAGGAGTAGGAGGTGTGGTTGTTGTCTCAAAGGTGTTGTGGTTACAGCTGTGGTAGTTGAAGGAATAGGAGGTGTGGTTGTTGTCACCACAGGTGTTGTGGTTGCAGTTGTGGTAGTTGAAGGAGTAGGAGGTGTGGTTGTTGTCTCAACAGGTGTTGTGGTTGCAGCTGTGGTTGTTGAAGGAGTAGGAGGTGTGGTTGTTGTCTCTACAGGTGTTGTGGTTGCAGTTGTGGTAGTTGAAGGAGTAGGAGGTGTGGTTGTTGTCTCAACAGGTGTTGTGGTTGCAGCTGTGGTAGTTGAAGGAGTAGGAGGTGTGGTTGTTGTCTCAACAGGTGTTGTGGTTGCAGCTGTGGTTGTTGAAGGAGTAGGAGGTGTGGTTGTTGTCTCCACAGGTGTTGTGGTTGCAGCTGTGGTTGTTGAAGGAGTAGGAGGTGTGGTTGTTGTCTCAACAGGTGTTGTGGTTACAGTTGTGGTAGTTGAAGGAGTAGGAGGTGTGGTTGTTGTCTCAACAGGTGTTGTGGTTGCAGCTGTGGTTGTTGAAGGAGTAGGAGGTGTGGTTGTTGTCTCCACAGGTGTTGTGGTTGCAGTTGTGGTAGTTGAAGGAGTAGGAGGTGTGGTTGTTGTCTCAACAGGTGTTGTGGTTGCAGCTGTGGTAGTCGACGGAGTAGGAGGTGTGGTTCTTGTAACCACAGGTGTTGTGGTTGCAGCTGTGGTTGTCGAAGGAGTAGGAGGTGGGGTTGTTGTCTCAATAGGTGTTGTGGTTACAGCTGTGGTAGTTGAAGGAGTAGGAGGTGTGGTTGTTGTAACCACAGGTGTTGTGGTTGCAGCTGTGGTAGTTGAAGGAGTAGGAGGTGTGGTTGTTGTCTCAAAAGGTGTTGTGGTTACAGCTGTGGTAGTTGAAGGAGTAGGAGGTGTGGTTGCTGTCACCACAGGTGTTGTGGTTGAAGTTGTGGTCGTCGAAGGAGTAGGAGGTGGGGTTGTTGTCTCAACAGGTGTTGTGGTTGCAGCTGTGGTAGTTGAAGGAGTAGGAGGTGTGGTTGTTGTAACCACAGGTGTTGTGGTTGCAGCTGTGGTAGTTGAAGGAGTAGGAGGTGTGGTTGTTGTCTCAAAGGTGTTGTGGTTACAGCTGTGGTAGTTGAAGGAGTAGGAGGTGTGGTTGTTGTCACACAGGTGTTGTGGTTGAAGTTGTGGTCGTTGAAGGAGTAGGAGGTGTGGTTGTTGTCCAACAGGTGTTGTGGTTGCAGCTGTGGTAGTTGAAGGAGTAGGAGGTGTGGTTGTTGTCTCTACAGGTGTTGTGGTTGCAGCTGTGGTAGTTGAAGGAGTAGGAGGTGTGGTTGTTGTCACCACAGGTGTTGTGGTTGAAGTTGTGGTCGTCGAAGGAGTAGGAGGTGTGGTTGTTGTCTCAACAGGTGTTGTGGTTGCAGTTGTGGTAGTTGAAGGAGTAGGAGGTGTGGTTGTTGTAACACAGGTGTTGTGGTTACAGCTGTGGTAGTGGAAGGAGTAGGAGGTGTGGTTGTTGTCTCAACAGGTGTTGTGGTTGCAGTTGTGGTAGTTGAAGGAGTAGGAGGTGTGGTTGTTGTCTCAACAGGTGTTGTGGTTGCAGCTGTGGTAGTTGAAGGAGTAGGAGGTGTGGTTGTTGTAACCACAGGTGTTGTGGTTACAGCTGTGGTAGTGGAAGGAGTAGGAGGTGTGGTTGTTGTCTCAACAGGTGTTGTGGTTGCAGCTGTGGTAGTTGAAGGAGTAGGAGGTGTGGTTGTTGTAACCACAGGTGTTGTGGTTACAGCTGTGGTAGTGGAAGGAGTAGGAGGTGTGGTTGTTGTCTCAACAGGTGTTGTGGTTGCAGTTGTGGTAGTTGAAGGAGTAGGAGGTGTGGTTGTTGTCACCACAGGTGCTGTGGTTACAGTTGTGGTAGTTGACGGAGTAGGAGGTGTGGTTATTGTCTCAAGATGTGTTGTGGTAGTTGAAGCCACAGTAGTTGTGTTCTGAACTACAGGTTGTGTAACCGCAGTTGTTGTTGGTGGGGGTTCTGTTACAACAGAAACAGTAGTTGTAGGTGTTGTAGTAGAAGTAAGAGTAGGAGGTGTGGTTGTTGCCACCACAGGTGTTGTGGTTGCAGTTGTGGTCGTCGAAGGAGTAGGAGGTGGGGTTGTTGTCTCTACAGGTGTTGTGGTTCCAGTTGTGGTTGTCAAAGGAGTAGGAGGTGTGGTTGCTGTCTCAATAGGTGTTGTGGTTACAGCTGTGGTAGTTGAAGGAGTAGGAGGTGTGGTTGCTGTCACCACAGGTGTTGTGGTTGAAGTTGTGGTCGTCGAAGGAGTAGGAGGTGGGGTTGTTGTCTCAACAGGTGTTGTGGTTGCAGCTGTGGTAGTTGAAGGAGTAGGAGGTGTGGTTGTTGTCTCAACAGGTGTTGTGGTTGCAGCTGTGGTAGTTGAAGGAGTAGGAGGTGTGGTTGCTGTCACCACAGGTGTTGTGGTTGAAGTTGTGGTCGTCGAAGGAGTAGGAGGTGTGGTTGTTGTCTCAACAGGTGTTGTGGTTGCAGCTGTGTGTTGAAGGAGTAGGAGGTGTGTTGTTGTCACCACAGGTGTTTGTGGTTGCAGCTGTGGTAGTTGAAGGAGTAGGAGGTGTGGTTGTTGTCTCAAAAGGTGTTGTGGTTACAGCTGTGGTAGTTGAAGGAGTAGGAGGTGTGGTTGTTGTCACCACAGGTGTTGTGGTTGAAGTTGTGGTCGTTGAAGGAGTAGGAGGTGTGGTTGTTGTCTCAACAGGTGTTGTTGTTGCAGTTGTGGTTGTTGAAGGAGTAGGAGGTGTGGTTGTTGTCTCTACAGGTGTTGTGGTTGCAGTTGTGGTAGTTGAAGGAGTAGGAGGTGTTGTTGTTGTCTCAACAGGTGTTGTGGTTGCAGCTGTGGTAGTTGAAGGAGTAGGAGGTGTGGTTGTTGTCACCACAGGTGTTGTGGTTGAAGCTGTGGTCGTCGAAGGAGTAGGAGGTGTGGTTGTTGTCTCAACAGGTGTTGTGGTTGCAGCTGTGTGTAGTTGAAGGAGAGGTGGTGTGGGTTGTTGTCACCACAGTGTTGTGGTTGCAGCTGTGGTAGTTTGAAGGAGTAGGAGGTGTGGTTGTTGTCTCAAAAGGTGTTGTGGTTACAGCTGTGGTAGTTGAAGGAGTAGGAGGTGTGGTTGTTGTCACCACAGGTGTTGTGGTCGTTGAAGGAGTAGGAGGTGTGGTTGTTGTCTCAACAGGTGTTGTGGTTGCAGCTGTGGTTGTTGAAGGAGTAGGAGGTGTGGTTGTTGTCTCTACTGGTGTTGTGGTTGCAGTTGTGGTAGTTGAAGGAGTAGGAGGTGTTGTTGTTGTCTCAACAGGTGTTGTGGTTGCAGCTGTGGTAGTTGAAGGAGTAGGAGGTGTGGTTGTTGTCACCACAGGTGTTGTGGTTGAAGTTGTGGTCGTCGAAGGAGTAGGAGGTGTGGTTGTTGTCTCAACAGGTGTTGTGGTTGCAGCTGTGGTAGTTGAAGGAGTAGGAGGTGTGGTTGTTGTCACCACAGGTGTTGTGGTGAAGTTGTGTGGTCGTCGAAGGAGTAGGAGGTGTGGTTGTTGTCTCAACAGGTGTTGTGGTTGCAGCTGTGGTAGTTGAAGGAGTAGGAGGTGTGGTTGTTGTCACCACAGGTGTTGTGGTTGCAGCTGTGGTAGTTGAAGGAGTAGGAGGTGTGGTTGTTGTCTCAAAAGGTGTTGTGGTTACAGCTGTGGTAGTTGAAGGAGTAGGAGGTGTGGTTGTTGTCACCACAGGTGTTGTGGTTGAAGTTGTGGTCGTTGACGGAGTAGGAGGTGTGGTTGTTGTCTCAACAGGTGTTGTGGTTGCAGCTGTGGTTGTTGAAGGAGTAGGAGGTGTGGTTGTTGTCTCTACAGGTGTTGTGGTTGCAGTTGTGGTAGTTGAAGGAGTAGGAGGTGTTGTTGTTGTCTCAACAGGTGTTGTGGTTGCAGCTGTGGTAGTTGAAGGAGTAGGAGGTGTGGTTGTTGTCACCACAGGTGTTGTGGTTGAAGTTGTGGTCGTCGAAGGAGTAGGAGGTGTGGTTGTTGTCTCAACAGGTGTTGTGGTTGCAGCTGTGGTAGTTGAAGGAGTAGGAGGTGTGGTTGTTGTCCACAGGTGTTGTGGTTACAGCTGTGGTAGTGGAAGGAGTAGGAGGTGTTGTTGTTGTCTCAACAGGTGTTGTGGTTGCAGCTGTGGTAGTTGAAGGAGTAGGAGGTGTGGTTGTTGTCTCAACAGGTGTTGTGGTTGCAGCTGTAGTTGTTGAAGGAGTAGGAGGTGTGGTTGTTGTCACCACAGGTGTTGTGGTTACAGCTGTGGTAGTTGAAGGAGTAGGAGGTGTGGTTGTTGTCTCAACAGGTGTTGTGGTTGCAGCTGTAGTTGTTGAAGGAGTAGGAGGTGTGGTTGTTGTCTCAACAGGTGTTGTGGTTACAGCTGTGGTAGTTGAAGGAGTAGGAGGTGTGGTTGTTGTCACCACAGGTGTTGTGGTTGCAGTTGTGGTAGTCGAAGGAGTAGGAGGTGTGGGTTGTTGTCTCTACAGGTGTTGTGGTTCCAGTCGTGGTAGTTGAAGGAGTAGGAGGTGTGGTTGTTGTCACCACAGGTGTTGTGGTTGCAGTTGTGGTAGTTGAAGGAGTAGGAGGTGTGGTTGTTGTAACCACAGGTGTTGGGGTTTCAGTTGTGGTAGTCGGAGGAGTAGGAGGTGGGGTTGTTGTCTCTAGAGGTGTTGTGGTTCCAGTTGTGGTAGTTGAAGGAGTAGGAGGTGTGGTTGTTGTCTCAACAGGTGTTGTGGTTCCAGTTGTGGTAGTTGATGGAGTAGGAGGTGTGGTTGTTGTCTCAACAGGTGTTGTGGTTGCAGCTGTGGTAGTTGAAGGAGGAGGAGGTGTGGTTGTTGTAACCACAGGTGTTGTGGTTACAGCTGTGGAAGTTGAAGGAGTAGGAGGTGTGGTTGTTGTCTCAACAGGTGTTGTGGTTGCAGCTGTGGTTGTCGAAGGAGTAGAAGGTGTGGTTGTTAGCACCACAGGTGTTGTGGTTCCAGTTGTGGTCGTCGAAGGAGTAGGAGGTGTGGTTGTTGTCTCAACAGGTGTTGTGGTTGCAGTTGTGGTTGTTGAAGGAGTAGGAGGTGTGGTTGTTGTCTCCACAGGTGTTGTGGTTGCATTTGTGGTAGTTGAAGGAGTAGGAGGTGTGGTTGTTGTCTCAACAGGTGTTGTGGTTGCAGCTGTGGTAGTTGAAGGAGTAGGAGGTGGGGTTGTTGTCTCTACAGGTGTTGTGGTTCCAGTTGTGGTAGTTGACGGAGTAGGAGGTGTGGTTGTTGTCTCAACAGGTGTTGTGGTTGCAGCTGTGGTTGTCGAAGGAGTAGGAGGTGTGGTTGTTGTCTCCACAGGTGTTGTGGTTGCAGCTGTGGTTGTCGAAGGAGTAGGAGGTGTGGTTGTTGTCTCAACAGGTGTTGTGGTTGCAGCTGTGGTTGTCGAAGGAGTAGGAGGTGTGGTTGTTGTCTCAACAGGTGTTGTGGTTGCAGCTGTGGTAGTTGAAGGAGTAGGAGGTGTGGTTGTTGTCTCTACAGGTGTTGTGGTTGCAGCTGTGGTTGTTGAAGGAGTAGGAGGTGTGGTTGTTGTCTCCACAGGTGTTGTGGTTACAGCTGTGGTAGTTGAAGGAGTAGGAGGTGTGGTTGTTGTCTCAAGAGGTGTTGTGGTTGCAGCTGTGGTTGTTGAAGGAGTAGAGGTGGGGTTGTTGTCTCAACAGGTGTTGTGGTTGCAGTTGTGGTAGTTGAAGGAGTAGGAGGTGTGGTTGTTGTCTCAACAGGTGTTGTGGTTTCAGCTGTGGTAGTCGACGGAGTAGGAGGTGTGGTTGTTGTAACCACAGGTGTTGTGGTTGCAGCTGTGGTAGTCGAAGGAGTAGGAGGTGGGGTTGTTGTCTCAATAGGTGTTGTGGTTACAGCTGTGGTAGTTGAAGGAGTAGGAGGTGTGGTTGTTGTCTCAACAGGTGTTGTGGTTGCAGTTGTGGTAGTTGAAGGAGTAGGAGGTGTGGTTGTTGTCTCAACAGGTGTTGTGGTTGCAGCTGTGGTTGTTGAAGGAGTAGGAGGTGTGGTTGTTGTCTCCACAGGTGTTGTGGTTTCAGTTGTGGTAGTTGAAGGAGTAGGAGGTGTGGTTGTTGTCTCCACAGGTGTTGTGGTTTCAGTTGTGGTAGTTGAAGGAGTAGGAGGTGTGGTTGTTGTCTCCACAGGTGTTGTGGTTTCAGTTGTGGTCGTCGAAGGAGTAGGAGGTGTGGTTGTTGTCTCAACAGGTGTTGTGGTTGATGTTGTGGTCGTCGAAGGAGTAGGAGGTGTGGTTGTTGTCTCCACAGGTGTTGTGGTTTCAGTTGTGGTAGTTGAAGGAGTAGGAGGTGTGGTTGTTGTCTCCACAGGTGTTGTGGTTACAGCTGTGGTAGTTGAAGGAGTAGGAGGTGTGGTTGTTGTCTCAACAGGTGTTGTGGTTTCAGTTGTGGTCGTCGAAGGAGTAGGAGGTGTGGTTGTTGTCTCCACAGGTGTTGTGGTTGATGTTGTGGTCGTCGAAGGAGTAGGAGGTGTGGTTGTTGTCTCCACAGGTGTTGTGATTTCAGTTGTTGTCGTCGAAGGAGTAGGAGGTGTGGTTGTTGTCTCAACAGGTGTTGTGGTTGATGTTGTGGTCGTCGAAGGAGTAGGAGGTGTGGTTGTTGTCTCCACAGGTGTTGTGGTTGAAGTTGTGGTCGTCGAAGGAGTAGGAGGTGTGGTTGTTGTCTCCACAGGTGTTGTGGTTGCAGCTGTGGTTGTTGAAGGAGTAGGAGGTGTGGTTGTTGTCTCAACAGGTGTTGTGGTTGCAGCTGTGGTTGTTGAAGGAGTAGGAGGTGTGGTTGTTGTCTCCACAGGTGTTGTGGTTTCAGTTGTGGTCGTCGAAGGAGTAGGAGGTGTGGTTGTTGTCTCCACAGGTGTTGTGGTTTCAGTTGTGGTCGTCGAAGGAGTAGGAGGTGTGGTTGTTGTCTCCACAGGTGTTGTGGTTTCAGTTGTGGTCGTCGAAGGAGTAGGAGGTGTGGTTGTTGTCTCCACAGGTGTTGTGGTTTCAGTTGTGGTCGTCGAAGGAGTAGGAGGTGTGGTTGTTGTCTCCACAGGTGTTGTGGTTCTAGTTGTGGTAGTTGAAGGAGTAGTTGGGGTTATTTCTTCTTCTGTTGTTGTTGTTTCTTCTTCTGTTGTTGTTTCTTCTTCTTCTGTTGTTGTTTCTTCCTCTTCTGTTGTGGTTTCTAAGGTTGTTGATAGAACAACAGTTGTAGTAGTGATTATCTCTGAAATGGAATTAAACAAATTGTTTTATAAATGAACAATTAGAAAAAAGAAAAACTCAAAAAAGCAAGGGTTCATCTTGTGTTAACTGTACATATTCATAACATAAAAGCAGAATCCTCAAGAAATGTTCAGTGGATTTCTGTACCTGTAGTTGTGCTTCCAGTTGTTGTGAATGAAAAGGGGGTTGTTGTCGGTCCAGTAGTTGTTGTAGTTGTGCATGGGTAAGTGGTTCTTTCTATTGTTCCATTGGCTCCACACACGGCTTTCATGCAGCCTCCTATCCCGTCATTAGTATCATAGATGACCTCCCCATAATTGTAGATTTTTCCATTAGCATAGCATCTACAAACTGATTGAGAGTGACATTTTCTATATTTATTTTTTGGTATTCAATTATATAAATACACATAGTCTATTTGTGTGAGTGTGTGTGTGTGTGTGTGTGTGTGTGTGTGTGTGTGAGAGAGAGAGAGAGTGAGAGAGAGAGAGAGAGAGAGAGAGAGAGAGAGAGAGAGAGACAAAGAATGTGTCTGTACTTACGTGTCACTTCATAGTTGCAATTTATTCCAGATGAGGTGCATTGACTAAGAAATAGGAAAAATTATGGATATGTTGTCACCCATTGGTCTCAATATTCTTTCAAATCCACAAAAACATTTTTTTGCAGTTTTTATACAATCTATAAATCTATAAATAAACATTTCATAAGTTGAAAAAAAAAGAAGTTCTGCTTTTTACATTTCAACAGGTTTGCTTAATTTCTCACCACCAGATTTTGTTAATTTAATTCATGTTATTTCAATATAAAACAATGACATTCCTCTTAACTTGGACAGTATACATGTCCCACATTTCATAATGTGCAGATAGAAATAAAGAATTACATTACATGCCTACAAATTTTTTATTTGAAACAATTTCAAAGTGTCTCAGTTACAGGCTGGGTAGATTCTGTGGCAGTCCTCATTGTTCACTAATAACTATGTGACTGCACATTCAAAATAAATATGATTCATAACTGAGGTGCGAACAGAACTGTGACCACTGTGAACTGTTACACCCCCAATATATATGTTTTTTTGTTTGTAAATCTTAAGGGTGCACATCCAAACAATGTAAATGTTTCCATGCTTACAGAGGCACTGTTTGTCAAGAGGCCAGGTAGGCAACTGCTTGGGGCTCCAGACAAGCAGGGGGCCCCCTTAGATCTGACAAACTTGAAACCAAAGCAGTAGTCCAAAATGTGCAAATTTTGCAATGACAGTTGAAAACTTCCCTCAGTGGGCCCCATCTGACACTACTCACTTTCGCTCCCTGCTAAGCGTCGAATGAGTTTTTGCTGTGAAAACCAAAGTTTAGAAATGAAAGTCAACCAAGAAAAATTAAGAGGAATTATCCATCCAAAGGAGAGAGAAAAAGAAATAGGAAAAAAGAGGAAGAGGTGCAAGTGTCCGGCCAGTGGCAGACTGTCTGCCAACAGACTCTAGAATCAACACTGCTTAAATTCAGAATGTAATTATATGAAAGACATACCAAGTGTTGCAGTTAGTCGTTGGGACCGTTTCTCCGAGGTGGTAATGGTTTCCGATGTCATCAAAGCAACCACATTGGTTCCATGAAACACACTTCATGGAGTCTTCATCAAAGTAGGGATGGGTAATGGGACACTGAGGATAGCAGCCTGTAAAACCATAATTGGATCTTTAATCCTCAGGAGATATATATTCATTTACAGTTTGTTTCTCCTTTACCCTTTGCCATCATATATTTCATAAATGCTGATTAATGAAATTCCCGATGATTACTGATTGAATAAATGTATTATTTATTACATTATTATCTTTTTTTTTTGCAGAGTTTAATAATTGAGAATCAGCTGTTGGCCATGTGTAAGTACATGAGAGTATTGAAAATCTATGATTTATGTACTTATTCAGCAGAGAAATAATAAAACAGTTTTTAATGATAGATTTTTCCTGTTCCTGTTGGAATTGGTTGTCATTGATTCTTTCCAGTTTCAAATGAATCCCTTTTTGGGGGGCTTGAACCTTCTGTGAAAATTCATTGAAGTTTGCACACGCATCAGGCCTGCTGAAAATTTACACATGACCTTATATATTATAAATACCTTCCATAGCCGAGATGAGGCTTGAACAATGTCCTGAAGGATTTGTACATGTCTTCATGCAGGCAGCTCCACAAGGCTTGTAATGCCACTCACAGCCATCGGGGGCATTGTAGAAGTCACAGAATATAGCTGCAAGAGATAAAATAGGTAAATATAAGTTTTTTTGCCCTTCATCCTCATTGGCCAGCTGTCATTATTCTTGTGTCATGGTCACAAACTCACGGCATATTTTTGGAGTTCTCCACCTCACGCAGACCCCGGCGTCATTACAAGCTTTGGCGTAGGCAGCCACAGCAGTGCAGAAACACTCGCAGTCTCCACCCATGTCACAGGCACAAGAGTCTTTCACACAAGAGTCGAAAAAAGGACCAGGATCCACCTTGAACATACAAAAGTGTGCTTTAAGCAGTATATCAAATATAGAGGTTATCATTAATGTTACCCTGTTACACTGGGAGTAGGGGCTTTGTGAGTAGTCTGACTCATCTTGAGAGTAAAATTTCCAGGTGTAGTGCTGCTTATGCCACAATACACTTACTTCCATTTTTTCTTGTGGTTTCTTGTGATTGTGATATTTCTTTAATCATCAGCAAATATTAGGGCCCATATTATGCTTTTTCTGGTTTTATATGCTCTTTAGTGTGTTTTCCTGTGTTCCTGTGCATGTTTAGGCACATCTATGTGAAAAAATTCAAAGTCCGCAGAAACGTGGCTTCTCCTACCTCCTCCTGTTAGCTGTAGCATTAGCCGCATGTAACGCTCGGTTCTAGCCCCCCTCGACAAAAATCTGTCAGTGCGGCATCATTGTCAGTGTGAGCTCACTGATCTAAGCCCATTGGCTCGTTGTGGCAAGCCCTGCAGCTCAAGTTGAAATTTCCGAGACGCGTGCTGAGCAACTGACCGATAACGACAGAGCGGATCGGCAGACCAATCAGAGCAGACTTGGCCCATGTGGGGTCTAACATTGTGGGCTCAACAGAGTGTAGCTGACGGACTCAGAGCGTAGAGGGAGCAAAGAGGAGCAGTACATGAAAACAGACACTTTTTTCGATCAGGTTACATAAGTTTCAGGTTACATAATGTACATATTAAGCAATACTACAGGTCTGTTGGGCAGTGGGCCCACCAGAGAATAAACAGTCCCCTCTAAGGAAAGCGGAAGTGCTGTGTGCAAACATTCGTAGCCTAGCAACAGTAAGCATCGGAGAGAAGTGCTCTGAAAGTGAAGTTGTGGCCGCTGCCAGTGCAAAAAAAGCCATCAATGGACATAAGCCCTTATGCTCGCTATCAATATAGTTACCTGTGAGTGGCAGTTCTGGAAGGTGACACTGTTGATGATGCTACATTGTTTCTTTGACCAGGATGCCCGATAACCGTTGGTGGCACAGGGGTCATTTATCAGTCCGGCGTTTGGACAGCTGGCTGAAACCCTCCAGCTGTTACCAAACTCAAGAACATCTGCCACTATGTCCCCGGATGGGGTGGTGAAGTCGTCCTGACTGTTGCCATCATAGTTTCCACACAGACCACAAACTCTACCCTAAGAGGGGGGAATACAAAGACAAAGTGTATTTTAGGAAAAGATGACCTATACATAGAAAGAGACCTGTTTGATCGGTGGAGGTTTGTCATTTCCCTTCTTCAAGTGCTACTCGCTGAACCTAAAGCCACCAATGTACTGTATCACCTTTACCATTGACTAGTCTGTAAAGGCACATGTTTAACAAAGAGCAGCTGGCTACAAACGTAGGGATAAATCAGACTCAGAATCTGTCAGTACAATTAGATCTGCTGTTTCATTTAAAGCCTGGACTATTTGTTCCTTCTTTACATGTGATGGTTTACTGGAATGGCTTGTGTTTATCAGAGTTCTTCTTCATTAAAACCACAAAAATACTTTGTTAGTTAGTGTTTTAACTCATGTGACTGTTTCATTCTGTACACTACAGTAGATGAGAGAAACAACATGACAAGCAACAACTCTTCCTTCAGCCTCTTACAGGCACAGATAAGACCTTATCTTAACTGAAACGGTTGCTGAAACAGGACTCCCACACGCACGATCAGGCTGAAATTCAGCAGAACATCATAGAATAATAGAGCAAGAAGTCCGACTAGAGGAAATATAGGACAATATATATACATGTTTGAGAGAGCTTCAAGCAACAGCATGTCCAACGTTGAGCTGGCATGCCAATACACAGTTTTACGACAGTGCAGTTGCACTGTGAGACCTTCAGCGGGCGCCAAGTTGCCCCAAACTCAATCCCTCCATTTTTGTGCTTGTCATTGTGCATCTTGACAGTTTTGGGAGACAAAATGTATATGATTTGGGTTGTGACAAGATGACAAAGTTAGAAAATTTACCTGGAACTTTGGATGGAGTTTAACAGAAAGGCTGGTCTTCTGGTCCCACATGATAGTGATTCCTGGCTTGATGGTCACCATCAGGTAAATACCCATCTTGTGCACCTGTTCAGGGAGACTTTTGCTGCTTCCCTTAATCACGTGGAAGCCCTCGTCTTTAAGGTGGAATTCGTTCTCCTGTGGATAAAAACATAAAAAAGTAAACAAGTATTTATAGAGAAGTGGTAGTGCAGGGTATGCGCAGGTACAGACTACACTTTTGATCCTCTTTTGTGTATATCCACTTTTAAATCCCCTCAGATTTAGAACCATAACTCCCTGCCTTATCACAGACTTTTTTTTTATTTTTATCATTGATGATTAAAATAAGGTTATTGGTAACAGTTTGAGTCATAGTTCAGGTCCAAACTTTGACAGGTCCTGACAGTGAGAGAGTGATGTGTTTACCCCCATGAAGATCTTGATGGACCTGGAGCAGGTGGTTCCCAAGCTTCCACACTGAATGTTCTCTGAAATGATCTGGAAGTGTCCTTTGCCCTGACCCCCGCTGCAGTCGTCCTGAGTGAGGCACAGACACAGGAGGAGGTAATGACTACAAGTCCTGACCTTGTACATGAAATCAGCCCCCAAATTTTGTAATATATGTAATATATTCTGCCAAAAAAGCCTACATGTGTCTTTAATATGAAACCGCTCAAAGTATAAAACAGAGATTTAAAAAAAGTCAAACAAATTAGAAAAATTAAGCTGAAGCATAATATTCAAAACAAATGACCTAATGGAGCTACAACTGTAGCTCCACTAAACTCTGCATGGAGACATACTGACTCATTCAACATGTAAGTACAAAACAAGAAGTGACTGTTAAGCTAATCATGGCGTGGTCATTGGGTGGTCATGGCATGACAATGGCACGGTCATGAGTTAGGACGTGCCATTGGATGCAATGAAGGATGCAGATTATTGGCTAACTCTTGGCTGAGCTGGAGACAAAAAGTTGCAGCTCGAGGGCTGTGGTTGTAAACTGAAGTTGTGTTTCCATTACAAAGATTGCCTCACATTTGTTGTGAGGAAAGACCAACGTCATCAAGATTAAAACTTGCTGTAAACATTACGACATGCCACTTTACCTGGAGGAGTGTGTATTCACACTGTCCATTGAAGTCAAACCTCTTGTCGTCGAATGTAGTGTAGTGGCCGTCGCCATAGGTCCCACAAACAGAATCACAAAGTTTATTGGTGCATGTGAACTTTCTGTTATGGCAGGTACTGAGGAACAAACGAGAGATGGAAAAGTTAAGTGATGTGTTCAAATGTGGACTGTAGATATTGTTCTTTCAGAGTTCAGAGATCATTAGATAACAAGACAACAGTGTGGGGATTTTTATCCTCATCAAAAAGAGTTAAATCAAGACGAGATGAGTCAGAAGAAATAACATTTAATATACTTGTATTTTATTGGCTACAATTCTTCAATTCCTGGCTTTATGTTGCCAGTAACTAATAGCTAGCTACCCTTTTATTGTTTGAACTCACTGATATAATTGAAACATATTATAATAATAGTTGTGGTGTGTATGTTGAGCCTTGTACTAACCAGATGTTGCAGTCCACAGTCAGAGTTTGTCCTGCCTGGTACTCCTGTCCGTTGTGCACACATGGACATTGCTTCTCATTGACACAGTTTCCTGCTCCGTCTGACACCATGTTTTTAGGACACATGCAGCCTGATGAACAGCCTGTATTCATCTGCAGACAGACAAAGTGGAGGGTTTTACACAAACCAGAGGGCCTGATTCACCAATTCACCTCTTTTGTGCCTGCTAAACGTGTGCAAATGAGTCAAAAAGACATTGCTGTATGACTTAAAAATAATTGATCTGCAGATAAAGTATGTAAACTTCACTATTCTTAAAACAACCAGGGGCTAAATTAGACCCGGGGCTGTCAGCGGAGACAGTCTGGAGCTGTTACCATGACGACGATGCCAGTTGTCCTTTCTTGCTACATTCATGGAGTAAGTTTTGTTTTTAACAGTGAGGCTCGTGTCACATTTTTAGAGTCTGGCCTCACAATAAAGTCTAAAAAGTGCCCCTGCCCCCCTCCTACTTTATCATCTCTATGTGGACTGGATTGAGCTCCGTCAGCATGAGAGTGCAGCTCCATACAAAGTAAAGGTGCAGATAGTTTCTCTCTACATTCAGACACAAAACTATACAGCTGTAAGCTTAGTGAGTCAGCCCTGGAGACGGAGCAGATAGAGGGAGAAAGTGATGCACAATCTTTGGAGCTATTTGTGGCAATAATCCATTCTCAGTGAATCAGGCCCTGAGACTTCTGTGAGCGTGTGAGTTTTATGCCACACTTACACAAGCCATGTCCAGGTTGCTGCAGCTCCTCTCACACTCAGTCCCAGAAACTCCAGGCTGAGCAGTGGCGCAGTCAAAGTACACCATGGGGGAAATGCATTGAGGTGGACCTGTGAAAAAAACAACAGCTGTTTTAAATAACATATTTATAGTTTAACTTTAATGCTGTTTGGTGAGATATGTCATTAGCAAAAATATTTTGTTTTACAACCCTAATGTGACCTCTGTCACTGAAGCATAACAGCACTCTAGTGGAGTTTATTTTTCATTTATTTAACCAGAAAAGAAAGTTGTTGTAATGAAAAGTCTATTTTTTTAAGAGTGTCCTGGCCAAGACAGACAGCAGCACACAACATAAACCACTTAAAATATTAAGCATATTGTTAAAATGTGGTTTAGTTTGACATATTTGCCATTTCTCTTACATTTTCCCCGGTAAACCTGTCTGAATCTGCCCTCTGCTGGGATCAGGATGATCCTGATTTTTAAAACCGAAGTAATCACAATCCTAGGAAATGTTTTGACAACAGAAACTTGAGGTTTGATCAGGATTACAACCAGGATTAAATACAACATCTCTAATCTCATCTCGAGACCTGATTTTAAACCTGCCAACCTCTGTTTGTAACTGCTTCACAGAGGTGTGTTTAATATTAAATTTTTATTTATTGTATATTTTTTTATACTAAAAAAAAAGCTCGCTTCATTATTTGAGTAAGTTTTAGGCTTGTCTTAGCTTCTTAGAAATCCCCTGGTTTGTTGATTTTTTTTGTCTTTTTGTTCTTTTAATGATTTGTTGTCTGTCTTTTAATTGATTCTGTAACGACTCGATGTCCTTGTAAGTGAGCGATGCCCCTCGGTAATGTCTCAAGTATAACTAAAGGTTGAATGAATGAAAGTACGGGCCTCAGGAGTCATGTACATATTCACATCAGTTATCCTCTGTATTTAAAATAACTGTCATCTTTGAGTTTGATATGGAAGCCAACTCAAAGTAAGTGTCAACACCTTTCCATTTCGATAGGATCAAATATGAGGATAATTCAACCACTGATGCATTCAGTGAAGTAAAAGCTTTTAAAACATTTTAGTGATTAGAATTGTAGGACTTTTGATATATTTCTGATACTAACCTTGTTGTGGTTCTCCTAAACAGCTTAGAACTCCATGTCTGCAGAAACTGAGGACAAAGAGGCACAGAGACACTGTTAACGTCATCTTCACGCACCATCCTGCGTCCTTTCCGACGTTTGTAAGGTGATGGATATTCAAACTTTTCACCGTGTTACCCTGTGCTACTTTTTTGGTTCCTACAGCTGTCGAGTCCTGTGTCCGACACAATCAGGCTCTCCCTGATGTTCTCCGTTTCTATTTTCAACCTTATACCGGGTGAATTGAGAACATTTGAACACTGAATAGCTTGCCTCTGCTAATCCCATCTCAGGGTCTGACTGACTAAAGATCATTCACTGGTGGTGACTGTCCAGGATCAAACCTCTGAAGAGTTGCAGCTGAGTGTGGTTGTATCCATTTTTTTTTCAAAGAAGCTCCCAGATGAAAATAAAAAAACCCTGGTCTATGAGAATTCAACTTTTTCTTGCACTAGGGCCAATGTTCAGAAAGGAGCCCTCCAAATGTGTTCATATTGCTGAACTAAATGTTTGTCCCTTCCCCTCCCCCCCTGTGAAGTGAAATTGTACGGCTCATTGTAAACTTAAGAGTTATTAAACTTCATGGTTACACTTTGTCTTTACCAGGTTTTGCCGTTTCTTGACACGCTTTCTGTAGGAGGAATGATGTTGTCTTTATCGTAGCAGGGACAGTCTTTGCTCATCACACATCTGCCCTCGTCGTTCATGTATGTTCCCTCTGCACATCCGCAGCCGTCCACCATGACGAAGCTGGCCTGGCACGAGTGGTCCGGTTGGCTGAGGGATTGGCAGGTTCGTTGGCAGCTGGTCATGTTGTATTGATAGATTGTTGTTTCCTGACATAAAGTGTATTGACCTGATAGAGGAGAGACGAGGGCAGCTCTTCAAACTTTTTGAATTTTTGAACGCAGTACCAATTTTAAACGCTAGATGTCAGAGTTACATATTGCTCCTTTAAGATCAGGTCATTATTGCTCACCTACCCCTAATGACTTCATTGATCACATCAAATGTGCTGCACTTGATTACTTGATATTGCATGTGATCATATGACAACAGTAAATAAAAAAAGCTCCTTGTCGTTCTTCTCACCACAGATGTTTTTCCTCCAGTTCCTGAGAGTGACTCCTGCTGCTGAGCATGCCAACACATAAGCCGAGACAGAAGCACACATGCAGTCCTCACTGTTATCACAGTTACAGCTGTCGTACATGCAGATCTGTAAAGACACACAGCGGGAAAGGATAAATGAATGAAGGATCAGTTATTAGGTTTGTTTGTCATTATAGCCCTGTTTGTGCAGACTCACGTCTTTGAATGAGTTAGGGTCGACAGCGTGATGGCAGGGTGCGAACACTCCTTTGTTATCCAGCAGTTTGGAGCACCAATACCGTGCAAATTGTTCTGTGACCGTGTAAAGAAAGAAATGAGGTGGTTAGAAAATAACAAGGCAAGGTTAACTCTAATGTGTAGTTTCTGTAATATGGGATGATACCACAAATACAGGAGAAGTGTTACCCTTGTTGATGCCGTGGTTACAGGGATGTCCAAAGCGTGGAGGTATGTTGGGACAGTTGGCTGTGTTTTTCCACGAGTTAACGAATGCTATGGCGGTGCCCTCCACCAGACCAGCGCTACCCATGAGGTCATCATTCATCCTGTTGTTGAAGTTCCCACACAAACCTAGTGAAACAAGTCAGATTTGAAATACAGCTAAATGTAAGATACAGTTACAGGTTACATATGGAAGGTGTGGTTTCTATACACAACACTGTGGAAGCATACCTTGAACACCACCTCTAAGTGAGGAATCGGCCATGACGAAGACCTGCATGGCTGGACTCAACTGGACGACAAGCTTGATGCCAATCATGAGCTTGACGAAGATGTAATTGGATGATTGCTTGAACGCAACGAGGTCCGCTGCAGAAGTAAGAAACATCGAACATGTGTCAGCAAACTGAAATTTAACCTTACTGTTTGATCTATCAGTAACTTGATATTATTCAGTATCTTAATGGGAATCTGGGCCGTATTCACATATACTTTGGGGCCTCTATGCTGTAAAGCACTCTTTCAGACATTTTGAAATGTTCCTCTTTGAAGTATTGACTGGAGTGATTACTAAACTTTTGGAATCAATTAATCATTAGGCCCCAAAATATGTAAAGATAGGATGCAGGTTTCAAAATAGTAGCTGTCCCTTTTCACTGAATTGGTTAAGCCTTTAACTTGTGATTCCATTGCTCATCATTGGTAACATGCTTTGTTTCTACTGAAATATAGTGTAAAGATACTTACTGTTAGACAGTGGAAGCTCAGAATTTATCTGGTTCACACGAATTTTCCCAGATGCTTGTATTATCATCACCTGTCATTTTGTGGAGAGATACATGTTTAGATTTTATAAAACAGCATTTCTTCATATTTTTTCAAACTTTAGCCTCGCTTGGTGTCTATGTTGGTGGTGTTCTCATACGTTCGACAGCATGAGCTCCCAGCTGTCAATCACAATCCTCTATTTCAGAGTGATGTAGTGAAGACAAACAGGGGCGTCTCCGGGATTTCTGGGCCCCATGAGAAGACGGGCCCCTCCACCACAGCCTCCGTCAACAACATTAACCCCACCTCCATTACACAAACTATCCGTTCAAATATTTAAATTAAGGTCCTTAAAAATTTCTTTTTGATACTACACGTGTTTGAAAACCAAACAATCATTTTTATTTGAAGGATTGACACTATCGAAAAGTAGTGAAACTTTAATTAAACCCAATCTAATCCATAAAACGAGAATGAGTCAAGACTGTGGGAAGCTTAGGGATGTGGGCAATCCCACATTGATTCATTTACTGATCATTATGGATGTAAAAGCCTCATTTATCACACAAGTCAATGTCTGAAACATATTGATGATGATGTCAACGATTCCCAGAACCAAAAAAATGTGAGTGATTATTAACTAATGCTTCAAGATAAAAATTCCTTCCAAATAGGAGGTCATGCCCCTTTCTTAATGACCGCAAATTAAAAAAATGTTTTCATTTTTATCACTGGGTATTGGTCTAATAAGTGAAGTGTATATGTGTGTGGAGCTTACGAAAATGTTGTTGTTTAAGGCCACGGTCACAGATCGGAGGCAGGTCTTACTGTCAGATACACCACACCTTTCCAGGTCCACCAGCACCATGAATGCAGAGCGCTGAGTTTGCTGCAAAAAAAAAAAAAGATGGGGAAAAAAAAGAACTCTCACTGTGACTGAAACACAGACAACTGACCACAGTTCAATATTAAAAGTCACAAACTTTGATCGGTCGTACAACCCACATAAATGTGTGACTTTGCACAGATAGAGCTCAGTCATGCTCCATGTGTACAGTGGGATAACAGTGGTGTGTGTGGGTTTTTATGCAATTTTGTAGATGATGATGATGTGTACTACCTGGACTAGAACGTATGAGCAGTCTCCATGGAAGGTGTAGTCTTTGCCATCAAAGGTTTTGATGTGAGATCCTCCATTCACGGAGCAGGACCCTGGACAGTTCTCTTTTGTGCACTTCCACTGACCATTTGCACACACACTGTCAACAGAAAAACACACACATTTTGTCTCAGAACTACTATTATCTTTGCCACTACATTACAGCCATGAACACTTTCCAAAAAAGTATTCCAAAGAAACTTAATTTAAAAGTGACAACCCGGCGTGGGTAGCACGGTTAAATACACAAATAATAATAATTTATCCTTCATTACACTCTGTTTAATGAACATGCTACACAAACATAGGCCGAAAAACACACACACGCACAAACAGGATCCTATGGACATGCATTAATGGAGAGGTCTCAGAGTGAGGGGGCTGCCCACAGCGAGCGCTCCAGAGCAGTTTTGGGGTAAGGTGCCTTGCTCAAGGGCACCTCAGCAGTGCTCAGGAGGTGGACTGGCACCTCTCCAGCTACCAGGCCAGCTTCCGGACTTGGTCCGTGCCGGGACTTGAGCCAGTGACCCTCCGATTCTAAACCCAAGTCCCTACAGACTGAGCTACTGCCGCCCCAGCAGAAGAATGTGATGTCGGTCTTTAACACCTCTGGTCACAGTTATTGTTTGTCCAGTTTGAAAGTTCGATCACCAAAGGTCAACAGTCTCACCAGGATCTGCAGTGGTGATAGTAGGACTCTCCTGGCATGTAGACTTGGTTGTTGTGCACACATGGACACTGATCGGCTGCAACACAGCCACTTTCAGTGATATCATCAAAGATCATTCCTGAGGAGGGACCGCGAGAAAATCATCCTTACTGTTATAATAAATGTATAAAAGCAGGGTTAAATATGTGTGTGTGTGTGTGTGTGTGTGTGTGTGTGTGTGTGTGTGTGTGTGTGTGTGTGTGTGTGTGTGTGTGTGTGTGTGTGTGTGTGTGTGTGTGTGTGTGTGTGTGTGTGTGTGTGTGTGTGTGTGTGTTTGTGTGTGTACCTTTAGGGCAGCTGCAGCCATCATGGCAGTGGTTATGACATATTTTCCTGGCCTGAGGTGTGGAGCAGGTGTCAGGACATGAGCTGCCACACTCCATGAACTCCATGTTGTATGGGCACGACTTGTCTGTGGAGACAAACACTTTACTGTTGCTGTGAAATGCTAAAGATGCATGCAAAGAGCGAACACATCCGTGTGTACTTCAGGGCAGGCAAGTAATCTTCAGGTGGGAGTGCTCTTACGGCAAAAGCTTTCGGTCCTCCATTGTTCCGGCTCGCCGCCTGCATGGACACACTCCCTGGAGAACTCAGAGACTGTCTGGCAGAGCATGGGCTCTGTATTGTTGTAGCACACATCGGACATGCAAATCAAAACGAAAGCTTTCTTGTCCAAGAGGTTTTTGCAGCTGTTGAATTCAGGAGCGGAAAAGATCTTCTCACATTGTCCCTGAAAACAAAAAGAAGTTTCATCACTGATTAAAAATCTTTTTGAGAGGAGATAATTTGTCTTACTTGAGTTCAGTTTTTAAACATAAACTATTCTAGTCTTCAGCATGTTCCTTTGCACTTATTCATTGGTAATGTAAATACATCCACTCACATGTAGCTCTGTTATAAAGACAAAGAGTGCCATCACAGCATGTGACAAAGATGCTTCGGCCTCCATCTTGGACATGTTGTTTAACATACTGTGACTTCCACACCCTCCATTTTACTTATGTACTGCCTTCTGTGACAAGGTTAGGGTGCGGTGTTTACTCCAACATCTGTTCTCTTTTGGTTATTGGATCCTTTTTTCTCTGCTCCAGTTATTAACTCAAGATCATTTTGAATATGAGTCACATCTCAGTGATGTCTACAAGGTTACTGATGATCATCATCATGAGGATGGTGATGATAAAGAGTGTAGACTTACCCGGTTATCACAATATGGGAGTTGGCTTTGCTCATCCACCACACAGCTGTCAACCTTGTTGATGTCAGCGTAGTCGGCCACGGAGAGTTTAGACCCTAATGGAACAGTCACAATTACACCAATATGGGATTAGCCCAGTGTCATAAGGATAAAGAAAACGAACAGTTCACACCCCTGTTTGGAGACATTTGCATTTATTACAGCATTTCTTTTAGAACTTTAAGTCTCTAAGGGTTTCATGTTTGGAAATATTTTCAACTTCTATACTGCTGAAGTATTTGTTAGATAAAAGTCTGCTTTTATGTAACACATGTCAAACAGTTTATTTTTTCAGTTCAGGTAAACAGAAGGAGAGGACTCGCTGAGTATGTTCAGGTTTACCATACTGCATATTTGTAGCATTAAGATGTACATTTAATAATCCAGAGGTTATGAACTAAACAGGCAAAACAGCTGCAGTTAGATACAAATACTAGCAGATGAAAGTAGTTGTAGACTGTTTGAAATGAGTAACCTCAGGGCTCAGTGCAGTTTGAGCTAATCTTAATCTTAGCCTTAGTTTTATAGCAGGCAATTATAACACCCAGAAACCTGATATTTTTCCTCAAGACACTCTCAAATATTACTGTTCTGCAACAAGCCAAATGAATACATTTGAAATGTGATAAATCCCTTGAAAATGTGCAAATATTTCAGCCATATACAGTTTACTTTGTGATTAAAGGAAAAAGTGCAAGAACAATGATTGGCACTGGATTTAGCATTGTTTGTTTGGAAAACTGTTACAGAAGACAGCAGCATGTAGGGGGACCTGGAGCCTGCAGGTCTTGATCTGCCTATGTTGCACTGCATTCTGGGGTTTGTAGTTTCAGCGGTGCGCATTGTACATACTAGCAGATGAGTTTTGATATATATACGATATTATTTTGTGGGCCGGACATAATTGTTCTACGGCTGGATGGGGCCCATGCACCTTGAGTCTGAAAAGTGATCTAGAGCAATTCCAAAATGTTTTCTATCTACTGATCTTCTGACCATCGAAAAATGGCTCAGGTATAACATTAACAGATTTCTCCTTCAATAGCAGAATTTCCCATTGAGAGGAATTCACTAGTCGATTCAATATACACTCAGTGCAAGGGAAACTTTGCCTAACAGTACTGCTATAATGTACAGTGTGTGATCGCTACATAATGCTGACAAGGACCTTACCTTCTTCGATAAAATCATTGACTATGCCGTCAAAGTTTCCACACAGTCCACATGTCCGGTTCTGGTATTTGTCATCCAAAACAATCTGTGAACAAAACACCAAAAAGACTGTAGTTTGCAGTATTTATTGGCAAAATCAAAAGATTTCAACATGATTTGTATGAAAATCTGATTAATGTAACTTGTTTTTATATTGCCCATTAGACAGTTTGTTTTCCTTTTTGCCTAACCAAGTGTTTATGGATCCTTAACATAACCAATCTGTTGGCTCTCCAATCAACACACCTACCCTGCATACCTCCATCATACCTCTCCACAAGAAGCCTGTTTTGTCTGTCAGTCTCTGCCCGATCATAGAACCAATAACTGTTTGATTATGTCGCAAGTGCAGCTCAAGTTCAGCCATTGTTTGGAGGCCTTAACTACATACCTGTTTGATGTCTGCCTGCCACTACCACTTACACCTGTTTTTACTGTCTCCAAGACCTCTATTTTGCCATCCAGCCTAGCCACCTACAAAGCCAATCAATTTAGCTACAGATCCCTACCTTACTCCCCAGTCTCTCACTTCCTGTCTGAACCTGATTCAGCCGTAATTTGTATCAAAATAAGACCATAAAGAATCCCTGATATCATGCCAGCTTTGCTTTGGTCACTCAATCTGAAAAGGCAGTCATCCAGCTTGCCCTGCTGACTGATTTAGACAAAATATACAACAAGCTGGTTTAAATAGTTAATTGATTTCTAACAGCATGTTGACACTCCAGGACTGTCCACAGTCGACACAGACGTCTATTTGGTTCTGTTCATGCCTCAAGTGGCTTATTGTCTTATTGTAGGCTCATATTGTTGCACAGTCAGATCCTATAGGCTTGTTAACTAAAGTCTTGGTTTGGTTATGAGTACAACTGAAGTCCAAACCAAGTGACAATGTGTGTGCTTCATTCATCCAGGAAAGCATGTGTGCATATGTGAGGGTGTGCTTCATACATCCAGGGAGTCCTCCATGTTCCAGATAGCTTTGATTCCCAAATTGGAGTGAACAAAGATAGCGGATGTGGTCATCCTGACTGTCACACCGAATTTGGCATACGGCAGTTCTACCCTGTAGGACACACAGAGAGTTAATGTAAACAATGAGATAGATAGGAGCTGCTGACACACAAGTCATTGTCTAATTAGAAACATAAATAACTGTTCTGACAGTGAAAGCCTGTAAGATGAGAGGGAGTCGCAGAAAGTGAGTTCTGGCTTCACCTGAAGGAGGGATGGGTTACACCTAAAGGACGGGGCTAAGGCCGGAGATATACTTGCGGTTTAATCTCAAGTTCCAATACACTTCTTGACTGAATTGTATATATACTTGACTATGCATAACATGTGTTACTGGAGGATACCTGTTGTGTGTACTGGCTGCTTAAAGTGGAGGGATACACAAAGTCCCAGTGATGCTGTACTTTACATCGGCACCAAGTGCCAACCTCCGGTGATGAAAGATAAAGCCAATGCTGAAGTGCAAAATCCTACAGTTCCTTGAGTGTCCACTTGAGGCTGCAGTTCAAAGAGCCCCGGAAATGCCAGTTTTTTACAGCAGAAATGAACATGTTTACTGTCTGGTACAAAAAAAACGAGAGCTGCAGTCTTTTATAAATTAAGCCTCATGAAGGGACTTTACTTACTTGTCACCATCGACCTTCACTAAATCTTTGTAAAGCTCCACAATGACCCCGTCCAGCTTCATCATGATGTTGCTGATGATGGGCATGTCGTTCTCATTTGAGCGTCTCATTTGAATGTTGAAGCTCTCGTAGTTGGCCTTACACTCTGAGGTCAGCACGTGCAAACAGTCAGACTGCAGTCTGAAGAATTCTCCATCATAGGTCTTCCAGTGATTGTTTCCGAAAGTGGAGCACACGTGCTCGATGTGATTGTGATCTTCCACTGAAACATGAACACAGCAGCAGAGGTTTCCATTTGTATGATAAAAAAACACTATTATGATTGAGTCCTGATAGATTGTTTCAGTCATTTTTTCAACAAACATGTTCAACATTTTCTTGTTCCAGCTGAATGTATTGTATTCCTGCTTTCCCCCTTTTTCTTAACAGAGTCAATGTTGTTTTTCAAATGTGCTACATAAACAAAGTGGATTATGAAACGATACACTTGATTGTCCCTGAATTTTGTCTTGGACCGAAAGTGCTGAACACATTCAGCTGCCTCTGCAGTAATACTCATTGGTTGGAATGGATCCAATCTAGTCCGGCCTCTCAACATTAACATGAAGTGTCACATTTTTGTAAGGCTTTAAGTTGCTTACCTTTACATAGCCCAAAAGATGTCATAATGACAGGTTCAAGGAAGAAAAAGATGGAAGAAGATAGGCCCGCACACTCCCTCGAACGTCGCAAAAGGTTCTAATTCATCACATCACGTTTCGACCAGAGCTCCTCTTCAGGTGATAAAAACAAAATGATCACCTGACAGTGTGATGAATTAGAAGTTTTTGTGCAAGTGTGCGCACCTATCTTCTTCTTCCCCAGTCTGCTGTTTTTGCACGGCCCTGCACCTACGTGATGTGCATATATGTCCAATGTACCCATGTCATAGCTGCTAGCCAAATAAATCTACTAATCTGTTTCAAAATACTAGCCAGGCATACTACAATAATACAAATATCTTAATTGGACCTCTGTTTTACTGAAGCACATTACATTTACCAAAGAAGAAAAAGATGGAACCCTCATCTTATTCTAACAAAATAATAACCTCATCATAACAAGACATTAATGTCATCATTACAAGATAATAATCTCATGACAGAGGAAGATAACAGAGACAGAGACTGCCCATGCACAGATACTTTGCCTATACAGCTCTAACTGGTACGCACGTTCACATTTGAACTCGTTTCAAACGTCTTATCAATGTCAGCCATAGATGTCTTTTAGAAGTCTTTTCAACGGCCAAAAGCTTGCTGCTGCATTTCAGCTCATTTAAATCTGAGCTGTGAAACCCCTGTGTCAGTAAAAATAATTCAGTGATGTCCCAAAGCTAAAGCAACTTTAAGGGAACACTGTTTGCACATTGTTGGTTGGTGAAGGATTCTGATGGATCACTCTTTTGGGATCTAGCTCATCTATCTCACCGTCTGAGACGGTATGATTGCTCAAAACATGTGTGCTTTGTCTTGTTGTGATGGTTGACATTACCGCATTTAATGACTGCGACGGTATTGAATTATACGAGGCATTCTGGTGTTCATCTGCCAGTGGGAATAATCAAAACACAAGAGTCTATCCATTCTTGATTAAATAGTCTTTCTGTCTTTTTCAATTTTCTCCTTTAAGAGCTCACTAAGATTATTTTTTTCTAACTCTCCTGTCTGACTCCACCATGTTTCTGTATCAGAGCCACTCATCCATATAAACCTGGGTATGGTAAGGAAGAAACCTTTTTAAAAAATACATGTCTTAACTAGATATAAAACATCTTAACATAGACCTGTTCCCAGAACACACACACATAAATCTGAACATAGACCTGTTCCCTGGAGAACACACATAAACCTGAATGTAGACCTGTTCCCTGGAGAACACACATAAACCTGAATGTAGACCTGTTCCCTGGAGAACACACATAAACCTGAATGTAGACCTGTTCCCTGGAGAACACACATTAACCTGAACGTAGACCTGCTCCCTGGAGAACACACATAAACCTGAATGTAGACCTGTTCCCTGGAGAACACACATAAACCTGAATGTAGACCTGCTCCCTGGAGAACACACATAAACCTGAACGTAGACCTGCTCCCTGGAGAACACACATTAACCTGAACGTAGACCTGCTCCCTGAAGAACACACATAAACCTGAACGTAGACCTGTTCCCTGGAGAACACACATAAACCTGAATGTAGACCTGCTCCCTGGAGAACACACATAAACCTGAACGTAGACCTGTTCCCTGCAGAACACACATAAACCTGAACGTAGACCTGCTCCCTGCAGAACACACACACATAGAGAACATCATTTCATCTTGGTCGGTGTGTACTGATCATCTCGCAGTAAGATGTAACTCACCATCATCATCAGTCAGAGCGTAGACAATAAGCGTAACGTAGACGAGCCACAAAGTGGATCGTAGTTCTTTGGTCCCCATGTTGAACTGGAGGATGGACCAACTCTGAAAGATTCACCTGGACATGTTACCTTTTATATCCTCTCAGTCAGGGTGGAGCTATTCCACCGGTACAGGTAAGATGGAGAGAGAGGCAGCACCGACCAGTGATCCCTCCCTCACTCCAATTATCGACAGTATTTGCCCTTTGCACGTTAAACTAATATCTGAGTGTTCACAAAATAATTAATTGTTTGCTCAGTTTGTCATCACCTCCGTCATTGAAGCAAGCTGAGTATTCCCCTAAATGTCTCTTTCATAGTCAATACACATCTTAATGGCTGAGTTCGGAAGGATGTCATGTTAAAAGACAGAATAAGACAGAACATATCAGAAAATGATTTGAAGATGAACGGTGCATGATGGGCTAAATGTATGCTCTGACGGCGCTGGCACATATTAAAAGGGCAAACAGATCCTGGTTTCTGTTCAAAGAAGTTTTATTCAATATTTGTCAAGAACCACCACCCCTCCACGAGTGAAGCCAGAGTAGTGACTGGGTTCCTTCAAGGTCCTGCTACTCAAATATATGTCATGATGATTAACCTGTGTGTGAGTGTGTGTGTGTGTGTGTGTGTGTGTGTGTGTGTGTAAGATTCCCACTATTTCTAGCACTTTGGTAAAAGTGTGATGTCAGTTTTTAAAGATTTTATCATTTATAAAGATTCATTTTCTGGTTTGTAATGATGACGTTTTTAAAACCAGAACATTGTTCAAGGTGGCAAGACAAGTTTCTGAAAAACAAAACATTTCAACATAAAGCAAGAGTGAGTAAATGTAAGTAGTGTCATCAGGAGCCACGTCCACATAGAGCTGAGTGTCATCAGCATAGCCTTGTCCCGGCTCTTGAGTAGACGGAGCTTCCCCAACCTTCAGCGAGCTGATCTGGCACTACTATGACCCGACGTCCCAGAGGCCCAGTCACCTCCATTGGACTGTTTTGCCCCCACAACCACCGGCGTCCTCATTCATACACGGCCTGCTCCGACCTCCCCCTCAGCAGCAAGGAAGTGTGGACAACAGGACCGCGAGGAACACAAAGGAGAAATCCTTCCTGCATATTATCCCATATGCTCTTTTGTAAAGCGTATCGATATAACAGTTGTTATGAATTGACGCTTTACAAATACTGATTGATTGATTGATGATTGAAAGCGATGCCATGCCTCCTGATGACACCACCCAGGGGTAACTCGTACAGATTCAAAAGGTAAAAGTGCCAAAATGGATCCTGTTGTGTGCCCTGAAACCAGATTGAAACATTTCTTATCTATTTATTTTTTCAGTTTAAAAATGCACTGAGCTGTTTAAAAACTAGCTTAAGAATGGCAGGTTTGAAATTAGTGTAAAATTGCTGGATGTTAAAATATCCCAGGTTCCCTTTTTAAAATATCCCAGGTTCCCTTTTTAAAAGAGGTTTAACTTAAGCACTCTTAAATTCAGTGGGGAAGACACCAAGCTGTAAGGAGTGATTTACTTTGGCAAGGACCTCTTGCTATTCTGAATTTAAAAAAAATGTTTAATAAAGGGAGGTTGGAATTGGGTCAAGGGGCCAATGCAGTGACCTCTTTTAAGAAAGAATGGGGAGTTTAATATACTGTCCCATATGTGGCATATTATTCGTCTCTGCTTTTCAGTGCCTCTCTGTAGATAGGCAGCTGTCCCACCACCCCTCTTTACTTCTCTATATGACACTAGAGGAGGTGTAACTGGGTGGATAGACCTCTATCAGTGTGGCAGATGTATCTGTTCCCAGACAGGTTTAAGTCAGAAAAAGACAATCCAGGCCTTGATCCCTGATGGTAAATGATAAATGACCTTGAGCTTGTGTGGCGCTTTTCCAGTCTTCTGACTACTCAAAGGGCTTTCACACCTACACATTCACACACTGATGGTAGAGGCTGCTATGCAAAGTGACCATCAGTATTTACTAATCCATTCATACACATTCTCACACCGTGGAAGAAGCAGTGGGAGCAACCTTGAGTAAAGTGTCTTGACCAATGCCCTCGTATTAAAAAGAGCCATTTCAATTTCTGAACATTTTACTCCTGACATAGAGTTTATGCTTAAACTCTCACAAGGTTATTGTAGTTTGGACCCTTTGTAGTTCTGTTTGAAGCTTTGTGACGGTCAGACGTGAGGCGTGCAATAGAATCAAAAGAGGTAGAAAGGGGTAAGCAACCATGGCGAGCATTTGAGCGCTTTAAGTTTGACTTTTTCTGTCGGCCACAAACCAATTTGGCAAAGTCAAGTCCCTCTCTCTCTCTCTCACTGTCGCTCTCTCCTGACTGTACCGTGCACTGTACACTGTATTGTGGTGGTGAATGGACATTTTAAGTCATTTGACTACTCAGTACGCTTTTTACACCACATTCACACACTAATGGCAGAGATTGCTTTGTAAAGTGACCATCAGTATTAACTAATTTATACACATTCAAACATCACTCACAAGGCAGTGAGAGCAATGTCGGGTTCAGTGTCTTGCCTAAGGATACAGACATGAGCTGGGTATCAAACCCTTGACCTCATTTGAGATAGTTCGAAGTACTCAGATGAAAAAGCAGCCTTGTTTGCAAAGTACTGAATGAAATAGTTTCTAAAATGATCCAAACTTTGGCTTATAGCACTGAAAGTAAAAAGATGCTCTTCTGAATCATATCCAGTGAGTGTAGGATTTCTTATAAGACTCATCTTGATCAAGGTATTAGGTCACAATGATTTGCATGTATCGCGTATCAAGGTAGATAAATGTTAAATTATGTAAACATCCTTGTTTACCAGGACTGAAAACTTTGTTCTAGCAATTCGCCTTTGAGGGTAATGTGTCCTGTTATGTTCTGCCTTGCCTAAACGCACTGTGTCACACAGCGTCACAGGCATTGTGTTTGTCTGTGGGTGGGGCTCCCCTGTATTTGACTCCTCTGTCATCAGCTTCTCTTCCATTTCTCTGAAAGACCTTCATCTCATCTGTCCTGGACAAATACTCAGGCTGAGGAGTAAACCTGGAGCAGGATGTGGTCGTAGTTGATGAACCATGAAGTGGGAGTGAGTGTCACTGCAAGTAGCTAGTTGAACTAGTTTGACTATTTTAACACCCCACACATCTATTCAGCTTACAGCATACTCAACAGAATGGATTCAAAATCAGTCAGTTTTTTTACACGTGCATTTCCTTAACTTAAAAAAAAAAAAACAGAGGTTGCCGCTTGGATTAGTCAGCCGTAGTCTTAAATCGACCTTTGACCTGACTCTGGATTTACCTTCCAGAGTTGACCTTTACATTAGCATCACCTCGACTTTAATTCTCCTGTCATCCATGGATTGAAAAACTCCCAGATGCTCCCTGCGTCTCCACTGTATCTGACCTCACGTTGAAGTGGAGGTGATGCAGGTCGCCCAGCTTTATGTTACAAAGAGTTCTAATGAAAAGGAGGTCTCACTCTGTACACAAAACTGTGCCCACATTGACTTTCCTCCTGTAATTAGGACTTATGAGTGACTCTGGGGTTCGGGGGATTGTTGTCCATTTTGGATTCGTACAAGGATGGTTTTAATATCTCTGAAGGGGGATTTATCCTACAACCAGCAGTACCACACAAACAGTCTCACAAACATGTTGTTGGCTGTTTTGCGCTCGTGCTTTTGCATAATAAAAAAAACTGTGTGTTAGTTTTTGGCCTGCTTTAATGTGTCTATGTTGTGAAGCAGTTGAAGCTCTGCCTACTCCTGAAGGGTTGTTGGTTTTAAAATATTACCTCAATTATGTTGTGAGAGGGACCCTCTGACGGAAAGTCCAGCATTACCAAGTGACTGTTGTAAAAAGTGGCACTACAGAACAATTAAACTGAAGAAAAAGGTTTGTGCACTCGGAGACAAATAATCCCTCTCCTGGCTCTGTTAGCAGGTGAAGACAAAGCTTAAAGCCTGGGGTAAAGAACATACACTCAGCTGAAATCAATTAATCATTTTAAAAGCAACTTCAAAGTGGAATAGTTTCAACTGACATGGCTGAGTTGTTTTATCCAGTATTTCTCCAAGGAGCACTGCCCTCTGCTGGCAGGGAGTATCAGATGCAACTTCCTCCCCACTCGAGTCAGGGAACTGGGCCTGAACTGCAATCTTTTCCCTCAATAGTCCAGATAATCCCACCCTCTGCGGGACAACAGGAAAATGGTGATTTATAGGCAAAAAAAACAAGACACAAACATGGAGCACTAAGAGAAAAGAAGAAATAAACCGCAGAGTTCATCAGTGGAAAGCAGAGCAACAACAGAGAACATGTTGGATATTCTGTGTGCTATGAAACATGCCAACAAGTAGAGCAACAATAAAACATGTAGAAAGGAGCGCTAAGTGGACACAAAAAGTGAAGGTTTCAGGTACTCTTTGGATAGGAATGATAGGTCAGGAAGTCAAAGGGCTTTTGACTCCTTTATTAGGAAAAGTCTGTAAAACAAAAAAACAAAAAAGGACCAATGTACCGTCTTAATATGACTGAATTGACTTTTCACAGGCATTTTGAATGATGCATTGTATTGTGGGAAGACCCAGTTGTTTTTTTCCTCCAGATTTGAACTTTCTCTGATGTCTGTCCTTTTCTGATTACAGCATATCATTAAGTTAACTGTTAGTTAGCTGCAAGGGAATAAAGAAAAGGAAGACATTTCAGGACTTGAGGAAGTGCTCAACTTCCTCATACAGATTTACTGGAAAAGAACTGCTGTGTTTGACGTTGGCATATTTTATTTGCTGAAAGGACAAGTAAATATTTAAATGACCTCCTGGATCCTTCACCGCATATAAACTTGGCAAGAAGTAGGAAGAATTTAATTTCATTAAACAAAGATATTGAGCTGAAGGATGGCGCTCTCCTTGGTAAATCTTTGTTTTGGCCAAACAACTCTCCTGGAGAGCATCCATCCGTCAGGAAGCGCCTCGCATGTTATGCCAGTGTGTGCCGCCTTCCATCTGAAAAA